GCCAAATCAGCAACGAAATCCACAACTGACTGTCGATGCCTCCTGTCCTCCACACCGTCCACACCTGCCGTTGGACACCTGCCTCAGTTGGCCGCCTCCTGCCCGTGTGGCCGACTCGATGGGGAAATGAACACTGACGCTGGCCGGGAGCAGGCCAGCAGCCGACAGCGGCCGCAGCCAGCGGCAGGCCCCACATCGTCAGCGTCAGCGACAGCGACAGCGCCAGCGTCGACTGCAGCAGCAGCAGCCACAGCCGCAGCAGCAGCAAAGACTGCAGCGTTATTTTGGCATTTCGTTGCAAAGGAAAACTGTTACAATTTTAGGCCGATTTTCTTTTTAGCCCGAACGTTGCAGCGCAACGCGATGCGATGCGACGCGACGCGACGCGAACCGACAATGCTTTCCGTTTTGATGGCCACGCGGACGTGAATGAAAGAAACTTGCAGCGCTTTTTGAGACCGTGTGTGACGGTGTGTGTGTGTGCATGTGTGTGAGTGGGGTTTGTGCATGTGGGTGTGTGTGTGTGGCAGACCAAAGACGCTCTAAGGTGAAATATACTAAATGCAGGGCAGAATGTATTTCTGTACGGTCTGCTCTCGCTGCAACGCCTGCAAATGCAGCAGCTGCCACAACAGCAACACACACACAAACACACAGACACATTGAGACGCCAACACATGGACACGCACACGCACACGCACACTTGTCGGCAAACTTTTCATTTCGTTTCGCGTTTCGAAAAACTAAAAAAGTCAAACTACTTGGTCTAATGCTGAAGCTCAACTGTCAGCTGCTCGATTCCGTTCGAAAGCTAACACTCGGCATTCGTTCCCTACGAAGCGACACGACACGGAAAGATACAGAGAGAGGGAGAGCGAGAGAGAGAGAGGAGAGAGCGTGCTTTTGTGGTAAAGCTTTTGTCAAGCAGCTGCTGTTGTTCTCTTTTTATCTAGCGCTCTCGCACAAGCTCCGAAATGAGCCTGCATCTCCCTCACACCTACGAGTATCTCTCATGGCAGTTGCAGCTTGCATTGGGGCGTTAATGTTCAAGGTCTCTCGGTTTGTATGTATTTCTCTCTGTGTGTCAGTGTGTGTGTGTGGGTTTCTCTCTCCCTCTCTCTCTCTGTCACAGTTTTTATTTTTTCCAAGAGAGCCCACCCAATTATGCGAAATTATCGATCAAATTTTGCTCTAAGGTCAACCTTAAATTGAAAATTCAGTTTTCCACCGCGATTATTTTGTTTGAGGCCAGACGCCAACAGCTGGTATCGCAATTGTTAATCTTGTCATGCATGGCCCGAAGCCTTTCGTGGGGCGATTAGTTTGCCTTGCCCCCTCCCCCTGCCCCTTCCATGTTACTACTATTATTTCGATACTAATTTAATCTGACACATTTGTGTGTTAAATGATTTAAAGCGAGAGCTGAGACCGATCAAATTACAGAACAATTGAGAAGATTTTTTAAATTGCAGAATTTTGTTTGTGGTTGCAAAAGTTATCTAATGCTGTAATTGGAATTAAAGAAATTTTCCACTTAAGTATACATAAATAGTAGTTTAACTTTGTTTATTTTAGTAATTAAGGGAGAGCCCCTTTGCTCTACGATTGTTCATAGATAAATAAAAAGTGTGGTTGGAAATTGTTTCTGAATATTTCCCATTGTAAGGGTATAAAATAAATACATATAATATTTGTCTAACAGTTTCAATCCCCTAACCACAAATGAATAAATAAAATGTGCACCTTTTGTTCTTCCCTAAGTTATTGATTCTATCTTTAACCCACCATCAACTTGCTGTTGTCTCACGTTTCTAAGAATAGCGTCTAGCTTTAAACCCAAGTTAACTGTTAGCTGGAACTTGATTCCTATTTCATGCGATTGCGTAAGTTATAGTTTTTTTTAATTTTTTTTTTATTGAATTTGATGGCATTTCATCATAGACTTGTCATGAGGTCATCAGGTTGGACAGCCAAGAAAACTGCGTCGAATACAATGCACACAAGCTGATGGGAATGGCATGGTGATAATTGCTTGATTTTTCCATCTCACTTTATTGCATTGACAAAACCCAGCGATTGCATAACGTGCAAAAGAAAATGCACACAATATATGTATGCATACTCGTACGTACCTACTATTAGATGTAGAGAGGCGGGGACAAAGAAGAAACGTGTTCGAGCAGAAAATCAATTTCGTTTTCCTTGACCTCATGCGGCCCAGAGTCCGCCAGTCCCCAGTCCCCAGTGCGCCAAGAAGCACATCCAAAAAAGCACCAACCAGAGGTTCGAAAAGAGACAGAGCGATGGGGGCAGCTACTGGGAGAGTGTCGACAAAGGATAATTGACGGTCATTTGAAATGCAAAGTGACAAAAGTGGCTGCAACAAATGTCGAAATAATGTCAACAGCAGCATGCCTTTGCCTTTGCAGTTGCAGAACCCACTCGTAGATGGCCAATTCACACCGTGGCACCCACAGCAAACCCCTCAATCCGAACATTGTCAGTGAGCCAAAAAGGCAAAGCGAAACGAAAATAGAAAATGCCAAACCAAATGGTTTTCATTTTGCAGCAGTTGCAGCCATGCCACGCGATTGGGAGAAAACCGAAGCAGCGAAAAAAAAAAAAAGAAAAACAGCGGGGGGCAGGGAAAGAAGAGAGATAGAAATAAATATAAATAACAAACCAAATCAATTTGCAGCATGAAAATCTTTTTAATTGTTTCTGCCAGAGATTTCGCTGCTTTGAAAATTTCACTCATTACTACGGACGGGTTGCTTTTGGTGTGTGTGGCATAATTAATGTTTTCAGGCGTTTTCAGAGCGTTGCGTTGCATGCACCCACCCCCCGCCCTGATGGATGGATGAGCGCTGCTAGGTGTGTGTGTGTGTGTGGAGAAGGTGTGTGGGAAAAGCAGTAAAATCAAATCAAATCGTAGGAAAAAATGTAAATCAAATTCGAAACGAAATACTATAAATGGGCAACAAGAAGATGCTGAATAGAATCATATGCAATTTTTGTTTTCTCACTGATTATTTTCTTAAACGATGCTTAAACTCTTAAGATTATTTTACTCAAATTCCAATTTATCGTTGTTTTTTTTTTCACCCTTCTTTGGTTTTCTTTTTTTTAAGGGGCGGGGTTTAAATGAATCGAACTGAAGCTTATGGCTAAGGAAATTTCATTTTAGTATGGCAAAATCAAAGTTCGTAACTAAATGTTGTATCCAAACAAAGTAAAACAAATGAAAACTGTTGATAAATTGGACTTGCGAAACAAAATACTATTTTAAAATAGAATCAACGAAATATTCAACTCTGTCATGACTCACCCTGTAAGTTGTTCCTGTTGTTGTTGTTGCCGTTGTTGCTGTTGTTGTTCTTTCTGATGTTGCATTGTTGCAGAACGGCCACTGGGTATACCACCAGCTGTGTTCACTTGCTTGCACCATATTCAAAGCGAGCACAGGGTGGTATCCCAGCGGCAGTTGCACATAGAAGATACGAGACGGTAGAGAGCTTTCGTTTCAGCTAAAAGCTTAGCGCGGACACAAACATTTATCGCTCTGCTCTCGATGTGGTTGCAGTCCATGATGTTTCATGTTCTGTAGGGGAGTCACTTCCTATATGTATGTACTATGCATATGTGCATATCATACAGACGCAATTGCAATGAGGCACAACTAAGTAACTCTTGAATTTCACAATTTCAAGCGGATCTAATTCATCTGTAAATCCATATTTCACAACCTTTTGAAACTAAAACTTAGGGCTTTGAGCACAGTTAAAGAATGCTGTAATTAATTCTGTATCTAATCGGTATACACCGATTGAATTTTGTTTTATATTATTATTATATTTTGGCTATTTTCTGTGGACTTATTGCCATCGGTTTGATCACTGTCCCAACCACTGTCCGATTCCGACCTATTCCATGCGCTCTCGGCTCCAACAGCTGCCAGCCGACTTGTGGGTTGTTTTATATACTCCTAATAATACATACATATGTGTATGCATGCAGATATGTATGTATGTGTTTTAGCTGCCTACGCAGTTTGCTGCACGGGCGTGGAAAGGTCAAGGTTCAGAATAGCAAACAATCCAGGAAATATGGAAGTGTTGCATACATATTCCAAAAGAGAGACTGCAAGGGTCTCTCTCTCTTTCTGTCTCTTTCTAAGTGTGCGTGTTTAAGGAGAGTGAGTATTCGTTCTGCTTGTGTGTGTGTGGGTGACTTTTCCTGTAAAACTCAGCTGCTAAATAATTCAATTTTAATTGCCATATGCTTGCCACCAAAACGTGCGTCACACGGATTTTATGTTCACACACTCCCCACAGCTCCTACACACACAAATACAGGCGCCAGCAGCGGGGGGGTGGCATGGCATTGTTTGTGGTGTTTATTTTCGGGCTTCGCTAATCAATTTTCCACACCTGATTCAGGTATTTAGGCGACGCGCCTTTAAAATGAACTTGGACACGGTCACACTCACTCGAACAAAGGGCGCACTGGCCGCATACTTAATCTCGGAACTGTGGCTGACCTCATCGGAGGCCTGACTGTCACTGAATGGAAATGCCCGTTCCCGTGCGCCAGCAAGGAAGCCACTCGGCCAGCATCCGGAAGCTGCAGCCAGCCTGTGAAATGTGGGCGTATGGGTGCGGGTCGTGGGCGTGGGCTCGCACAGGTGTACTGGTCCCCTGACGTTGGATCCCGAAAATATGCAACAGTATTCGACAGAGTCGGGGTGGCAGTGGCAGCAGTTGGAGGCCAAGAGCAGCAGAAAGCAAACAGTTGGCTGCCGTCGACAGCGATGCCGATGCCGACGTCGACGCTGTCAGCAGCAGAGCAGCACGGTGTCGTTAAGTCGCCCACGCAAAAGCTGTGCAGAGAAAAAGCTCTGGCCAACTCTCTCGCTCTTACTTCCCGCTCAGCTGGTGCTTTGCTTTCATTTGTTTTTGTTTTACTTAATCAATTGCATTCACATACATACATACACATACCTGTTTTGCTCTCTCACTCTCTTGGTTTGCCGGTTTTCAAGTTCAAGTTTCTCAGAGAGTGCGCATGTCTGCGCCATATTTGTTTGTCCACTTGCTCTCTCTTTCTTTCTCTCTCTCTCTCTCTCTCTCTCTTTCGCACGCTGCAGTGTGGTGCACTTCGATTGTTTTACCGTCGCTTGCTTTTTGCTGTCGTCATGCAAAAATCAACAAAATTGTTGGCGCGTCCCGCATGCGGGAATGGTGATTGAGCCTGGCCGCTGGTTTGGTTTGGTTGAGTTCGGATCAGCCTCTGTCTCCGCTCAGCTGCACTGAACTGTCGCTAATTAAATTTCCATGCTGACGCAGTGCCCCGCACTAAAAATAAATAAAGGGATTTTTGTTGAAAATTCCATCGATTAAATGGCAACATCAAAAGCAGGCAAACATTATCGATTGCCAGAAGCTGGCTATACATATATACAAAAAAAATCTTTTTAATTTTCCATTTTGTTCTCATACTTTGTATGGGGGCGTAAATTTGAGCACACACTAACAACCTTTCTTTAAACCTTTTACAAAATAATACAAATAAATATGAAAAATAAAATTGGCAGAAAATTTGGTAAATTATTGTCTTACTGTCAAGATTTTGAGCACTAAAGGTACTGAATAGCGAATACGAGAGGTGGTACGCTCGAGAGTCGAGCTGTCACATTTAAGTTAAATAATTTAACTAAAATCTGATTGCAATGAATTTTAATGCATCAGTAAATATTGCCAAACCAAATTATTTAGCTACCATTTTTATTAATGAGTGTTCCGCATTGATGGTGATTACTTCTACTCTAAAATCAATTAAATGTAACTATGAAAACTATAAACTGGAAAACAGTCCACAAATAGATCTAGAAGTATGAGTACATCACCAAAAGTACTCGCGAGAGTTGGAATAGTTTTAGTTATAATCCTTTTTGTCCAAAGTACACACGGCCTGTTCAAGGCGACCAACATCAAGTGCAAATGCTACGATAAAGCATTTTGTGACTTTACACAATGCGAATTGAAGGTAGTTGGACGTGGCCTGGTGGCCATCAATATATACGTTAAGATCCATCAACTGCCGGTGAAGAAAGTGCTCGTGAGTGATTCGATAGATGAATCAAGAAATAAACTTTGATTGAACTTCCCCCACTTCTAGGTAAATGCAAGCCTCTATCGAAGATTTAATGGCTATCGGCCGTTTCTTTACAATATTACCGTGGACTTTTGTGAGTTCTTCAGACATTCGAAACGCTATCCCTGGTTTGACATAGCTTACAAACAAATTTCTAGTTACTCCAATCTAAATCATAGCTGTCCCTACAATGTGAGTACCCAAGTGCAATGAATAACCCAAAATAATTGAGCCTGTATTTATTTTTGCCTGCAGCATGATGTTATTGTATCGAATTTCGTACTGAATGATGCCATGCTGGAGAAGACTCCATTCCCCACCGGATCTTACATGCTTCAGCTGACTGTCGGTAGTCCCGTGTGGCGTGGCATAACCCAAGTTATGGTCGATATTGTAGAGGTCTAGTTGGCGATTTAATTTTAAATAAATTAATTGTTTATTGTTTGAGGGCAATTATATTAAATGGAATTAATTTTTTGTTATTAATTTGTATATCCTTTATAAATGACTCCTCCCTTCTTGAATTATCTCTCTGGCGTATTAAAGCGAATCACCGTAGCCTAGTGAATAAATCAGCGGGAAAAATTGCATTTCATTTGCTAGTATTTTTTTGCATGAAATTCACCCGCTCTCAAGGTCTTATCGAGTGCATTGCATTGCACACGGCCGTCGTTCGGGTCGTTGAGACTGACTGGTGCAACGAACTCGGAACTAGTATGAAATATGCGGGGGCAATGAGTTAAATGTGTTATGGGGCAATAAAACATGGCTCGCATTTGGCAGTGGAAAATTTCTAGCAGTGCATAAAATATATAAATATACATACATAAATACATACAGAAGATGCATGCACAAATATAGCCATAGTAGAACTGAATTTATGATTTTACTGAATTAAAAATAGGGAATTAATTAAATAGTACATGTGTGCCATCGATTTTCGGTATTATTATTTGGCTTAGTAGAGGGAGGGCATTTTTATGGCTTTTTCTGTATTTGTACAAATACATATGTACATATGTGGTGGTGTACTGTCGTATGTGTCTGTGAGCGAAAGATAATAAAACTGAAAGGCTAAACAAAACGCATAGAGCAATAAGTGCGAATAAGTGTGGCAAAGCGTGTGGTGCAAAAACGTTTTTGTTGCTGCCTTTTGCGCTTTTATCAGCCTACCAGAGCGAGATAGCCATATCAGAGAGGTCTTTCGGTTTTTTTTGTGCAATGTTTGCCCGGCTTCCCCTCCTCCACTGCTTTTATTTGATGTTTGGCGTGGTCTCGTTTTGTTTTTTTTTTTTGTTGCTTTTGGCTTTGGCTTTGCCTCTGCTTTTGCTTCCTCTTTGTTTGACGGCGACTCGGCTGTTTCTGCTCCTCTGCTCTCACAACGAATCGAAATAAAACGTGTGGCCGTCTCGCTCTCGCACAGAAACGTGCCAAACTGGTTTCCACACCACACCACAGACACACACACACATGCAGGTACAGCACAGCACTATGGCAACTACGTATGAACATCTAGCTCTATCTCTCTCTCTCTCTGCCTCATTTGCTAGAGGCTGGCCGGTCTGTATGTACAACTAGTATCTTAACCTTGAACTTGAAACACATATACACAGACGCAGAAGCACACACAAGCATACAAACACACAACACACACGCAGATACAGCAAAGAGCGCACGACGGCGACACACTGAAGCACGCGATGCTAACGCCGTCGCCGACGCTGACTGCGACAGAGCGAAAGCGCTTTTATTTATGCCTTGTCTGTTTGCCTCTATGTGTGTGTTTGTGTGAGTTTCGCTTTCTATCTCCCTCTCTCGATACCCTCGATACTTTTACTGACATTTTGGGAAGTGCAGCTTACGCCATGCATACGTAATACAACGAACACCTGGGCCGAGACATCAGCTTCCTCTAACCTTATTTAGACTGCCACACAGCCATCCCATACACACACACACACCCAAACAGCAGGATGACGACACTCTCGGCAATTAAAGCGCTAGCCATGAAGATGATTTTTCCTAATCCAACCCATTTTCCCCGCTGCCGTAATGAGTATTCTCTTGGATTGTGTGGGGGGCTTCTGTGGAGATGGGGCGAATCTTACGTAAACGAATTTCAAAATCAAAATTCCCAACAGGAGTCGAGCTCCGATAAATTTAGATTGGAATGCCAGACGATGCCTTGCAGATCCAAAGATCCATTTCGAAGGGGCTTGGTAAGTTTGTAATACCCTCTTGAAAGGGTATATCTTATTGTTTTTATTATCGGAAGGAACCCTGCGGTCTGCCAAGTATGGCTAAGAGTCTGGCAAAAAGCTTGATTGAGTGCAATCACATTGCAATATTTTGTGGGAGTGAATTGTAGTCTACAATTTCACAAAACTGTTTACCGCATTCTACTGATCGTGTGTCCGCAGATAAACTGAGCAACAAATGCATTTAAATATATGCACAGATTCGCTATGTTCATTAGTCATTTACTTCTGTGTGTGAGCATGAATATTGCGGCTTTGATCTTCTCTCGGACACGTGAGGCAATGGCAACTCAACGGGCTGACTGACTGGTCGTATAATTCTAAAGTTGACAAAACGTTGGAACGGTTCTATGAATAAACAAACATTCATATGCATAAATGAATGAATTACTCATAACCAGACGATAGATACATAGACCGACAGATAGATGAATGCAATGATTGATATAATCAAAGATTGAAGGTCTCTTAAAACTCAAAAACTCATAAAGAATTTTTAAATAAAATTTAATTATATGCAATTGCTATTAATGGATTCATTGTTATCATATATAAACTGACATTTCTTTTTAATGACATTAGGCCAAAGTGTCGCTCCTAATAATTGCACTGAAAATTGTAATTCTCCCTTTAGCAGAGCGTCTAATAAACAAGTTGAAAAACAGTCAAACTTAATGGCAACACACACACACTCATACACATCATTCGATTTTCTCACAAAGTTCCTGAGAATCATAAATCCCTTTTTGCCAAAATCCGGAACTGTTTTTTAAGCTCATTTTCGCATTTGTTTTGTTTGTTTCGTTTGGGCTTTGCAAATAATTTGTTTCTCTTTCTTTTTTTCTTAATTCGTGTTGTTTATGTTATAAATAAATTTTGATATTTCTGCAAATTCCGGGGGCAAAAAAAAAACACAAAAGATTGGGAGAAAATTGCTCGAGCCATATTGTGGGGGGAGTGTATGGGTGTTTCTGTGTGGTGTGGAGAGAGCTTCCGCATGAGTGTGTGTGTGTGTGTGTTTGCCAACTTTGCTCTTCGCAATTGTTGACTGTATTTTCCGCAATCAAAACAAAATGTATCGTGATGTTAGAGCCGCGGGAATGGGAATGAGAACGGGAACGGGAACGAAACGGGCCTCTTGATGACGCCGTCGAAAAAATGTTAACTACGACGCAATTTCGTTTACTCACATTTCTCTCAGTTACTCTCTGGTTTGGTTTCGTTGCTGCTTTTATGTCTGCTTTTTTTTTTCATTGTCAAACACTTTGTTTTTAGTTAACTAAGGGTTCAGGATATTGATGCGTCACAGGAAAACACGAAACGCGACGCGTAGTATTTATTGTATTATTGCCGAGGGTCGTGGGGTTTGTGGGCCTTGCGATCGGTTGAAGGAGCTGCCGCTGCAATGTCTGTCTGTCAGGCCGCATGGAAAGTTCTCGCGTTGTTGCGGCCTTCCTCTGCTGCCAGCTCTGTCGCTACCAGCGCCGGCAGAGTTTCTATCTTCTAGTTTGGCTTTTGAGCGCCGCTCGCTCTCTCTCTCTCACTGTCTCTCTTTTTGACGCTGCTTCAGTTTCGTCAAGTTTTTTAATTTTTCCTGTTCCTGATTCTTTGATTTTGTGCTGCCCCTGCTGTGTCCCGCTGTTCCTGTTGCTGTTTCGCTTTTGCTTGCCACCTTTTGGGGCACACCACGCTTTTGCCCTACTGCCCCACACACCGACGTTGCCTACACTACAACCACATGACGACGGCCTTCAATTGGCTCTTCTGCTCTCTTTTTCTCTCTGGTTTGCTCTCCTTTACCCTATCACTCTCTCTCTCTCTCTGTATCGCTGTTGCTTCCACGCTACCATTCCTTCATTCATTATTCTCCACGTTCTTTTTTTCCCTCATACGTTGCACATTTGTTTTCAGCTCTTTTTCTTGACGAAATTAAGTTCTCTCCTCTCCTTTGCAAACTTTTATCTTTGCCTCTACGTGTGGGTGTGGGTGTGTGTTTGTGTGATGACTTTTGCTTTTCGCGAATTCCTGATTTTGTTGCGACGCTTTTCTAGCCGACACAAAACAAAATTTCACAAAACATCTGAGATCCTTATCCCCTGAACGCGCAGATCCTGATACTTTTTGTATGGGAATTGGTTTTACAATATCACTGTTAAAGTCCAATCTCTCTATTAGATGTCTCAGAGAAATTATATGATTTTTTGCTTATTGTGCACACTAGCACGAACATTTACTTAAGGGTATTTTTTACAAATTCATACGTTTCCTTTTCCCACGTTTCATCTGTAGACCAAACCAGACTAAAACTCAACCCATTGACTGAGAAAACGAAGACGCAGAAAAGCCTTCCACTTTCCCAGTCACGTGTGTGTTTTGATATATGTATTTCTGAGTGAGCTCACATGTATTCGTCATATGTATATTGTACATACATATATTATGATAATATCGCCTGTTTTAGTCTGCGTTCAGAACAATAAGAATTCCAGTGAAGGGAATCCCAAAAACCAACTTTAATTTCCAGTGCATTTATGGTTATAATAATGGGGTTTTAAAGTTCTACAGTTGCTGGTGATAAAAATCTGTATGTATGTATCTAAGCTTACCGTTGATCAGCAGATGCAAAGTAATTACCCTCCATTCCATTCCACTTTGATGATGCAATTTTTAGCTTTTCCATTTCATTTTCACTGACATTTACCTTTTTTGTGTGCAAGTATTTCGTATCTTTGTTATTGTTGTTTCTCTTGTTTTATATAAGCAGAACTCACATGTTTTGGGTCACGGCACGTAAGGCAACATTGTTGGAATTTTTTTTTGTGAAATTAATTTACATTTGTATTTTCTTCCGCAAAAACACATATAAATGCACTTCTAATTACGTTGATTTCCGAACAGGACTTGAACAAGTCGAGGTACAAACATTTTTAGTTTAAAAATATTCTTAATTGATTTTTTTTGTACATGCATATTTGACAGGCACTTCTCATGTTATTATTGGTTAATTAATTATTCCTCAATTATTTTTTTGTATTGTTATTATTTGGCCAATTTTGGCAAATTCAATTCCCCTGTTGATGTCATTTGCGTGTCCAATTGATAGCAAACAAATGAGGAATTGTTTGGTTTGGGTTTCTTTTTGTTTTTTTGTTTTTACTTATTGTTAGAATTCTTCTGATGGGGTTGGTTGGTGTTGGTTGGGCTGCTGGGGAATGGAGCGTTGTTCGCAGCTCGCTTGTCGGACTTTCAATGCCAACGCGCAGCCCAGCAGAAAGTGGCAAAGCTGTCGTGGTGCCGCTGCTGCTGCCTGTAGCCGAGCTGAAAGCTCTACGAAACGAAAACAGAGATGAAACGAACAAGTGTGTGTTGGTTGCCATACTGCAGGCGGGAAAGAGAGGAAGAAAGATGAATAGAGCGAGATGGGGCTAGAAAGGAGCACGGCGCGTCCCACTGCCAAAATCCAATAACAAAATAAAGACAGAAGTCGCAAAAAAAAGAGAAAGAGAAGCTGAGCTCAAGTTCAAGGATGTTATGTAATGGAGAAAAGCGAATGGCAAGTGAAGTAGGTGAGAGGTGAGAGGGAGCGAGTGAGAGTGCAGTGAGTGTGGGCGAGAGCGAGGAGGGAGGCCGGGTCTTTCTCGCTCTCTTCGCTCGTATGACCTATACCAATGTAGAATGATCTCCCCTCTCGCACTCTTGCATTCTTCTCTCTTTCTTTCCCTTTGCTGACATGATGTACTTGCAATTTAAGTTGTGCAGTCTACCCTGATGGCGCCTTAGTTACTGCCCCTATACAGTGGATACTCGATAAGCAAGGAAATAACAGGGTAACCCTTAAGCATGGCTACAAAGTATTTAAACTGCAGATTTTCAGATATTTTACCATTTTCAATATGATTATAGCGCGATCCTAAAGCTATGGTCATTCTGGATATCATATTCGATCGTTTACTGTACCCCGTATCCTGCAAGCGAAAAATAATAAATTCTAAACGATCAGCACTTGGATTTCACCAGCAATATCATTAGAGGGAACTGTTCCTGTATTTACTTTCTTTTTTGTGTCCTGAAAATGTTTTTTTTAAAACGTGTATCTTTAATGGAGTGACTACTGTATATGCACTTTCTGTGTGGTGTGTATCTGTTGGGCATGGGGATGGGGCTCGTATTGGGTTCGTATTCGTGTGCTGGGACTGGGACTGGGATTGGGACTGGGCCTGGGGGCAGCGAATTGTATATAATTAGCGCACTTATTGACTAACTGCCGTTTGCAACACATAACAACAATCATTACGTAGCTTACTTGCTGACTTAGTGCACATAGTATACAGATATTACAGAGACTTATGTACATACTGTGTACATATGTACATATATACATATGTATGCATGTATGTATATGTCATGCGATTTCGATTGACTAATGTGCGTGTGCTGCAATTTTCGACTGACTGATACACTGTCAGACCCTTTCCAGTCGCTATCTCTGTATCACCTTTTTTTTTTATAGTGAAACAATTTCTGCGTTGTGGCTGTTTGTTTTTCGATTTTAATTTCTTAATTGAATTTGTTTGGGGGCGCAAGTATGTACATATATGGCGAGAGAGAGAGAGAGAGCGCACAGTCCGCCATGTTTGTTTAATTGTTTAATTTAATTAAATGCCTTGACTGCAGCGTTTGCATGCCTTTGCATATTGTAGATACACACATTCATATGTATGTACATATGTACATCACCAGATACACATACGCATGTGTGTGTGTTTGTGTGTGTGTTCTATATCTTGGCTCGGCTATATGCAACAGATGTTATTGCATGCCGTGTGCTGTGCGCTTTCATAATTCACCCATCTGCTGCTGCGCATCTTATGTCATGCGCATCGCAACGCTTTAAAGGGTACTAAGATACACAGATACATACCAACATACATAGTTGCAAGCACATAGCCCGCTACATACATATACACAGCTGCCACACGTACAGGGATTGCACATTTACAGTGGCACTCGCTCGTATGCGGCCACTTTGCTCGCGCAGCTAAAGTGCGAAACTTTTATCTTATTATCACTGTGTGGGAAACCAAATTCAGTTACAAGTTTCCGCAAATGTAATTTAGTTCGATTAAAGTTAAGGCTGGCTTAAGACGGATATTGGATTCATTGAAATAAATTTAATATCCCAAGAGGAGAAAACTTATAAAGCTTTGGGCATTCTTTCTATTCAATATTCGAACTTTAGAGTAGGAAAAAAGAAGATAGCAATTATATAGTCATATATAGTATATTTTATTATATAGTATGACACACGAAAGCTGCCAAAAATATCAAGCGATAATAAAAAAATAGCTTAAGCTTACCTCAGTGCGGGCCAAAACAGTCTTTATATGTATATCGGTAGTTTAGGTAGTATATGATAGTTAGTATTTATAGTGAGCACAAACAAATTTGTACATACAATTGCACTTGCTCTGAGACTGAACGTGTTCATACGCGTATGTGTGAGAGTATTTAGCGGAGAGTCATATCTATTATAAATTGTGTATACACAATACTTTGGGGAAAACTGGAACGAGCTGGCGAATCGAAAGCGCAGCTCTCAAAGCATTTGCTGAGTGGGAGAGAGTGCGAGGAATAGTGTGGAAAATTGGGTTAGGGGGAGTACGAGGATACACATACATTCAGCCAGCACTGTGTAGATAGAAGCGACAGCGACATGCAAAGCTGTTGTTCCTGCTGCTGCTGCTGCTGCAACATTTGCCCCTTACCCTTCTCACGTGAGCGGCCTGGCAGCGCATGACAAGAGTAGGTGACCTTGACAGTGAACTTGAAATAATGCTGCTACACAAGGATTCCAAGCCTGCATGTATGTGTGTGTGTATGTTTGTGAGAGCTTGCACAAAACGCGAGAGCCAGAGACACAGAGAGCGAGTGATTGTCGAAAAGCTTTTGCTCTTGCATCTGGTCGAGTGAGTGTGTGTGTGCGGGGGTGGAGGTGAAGTGCAGGGCAACCTCTCATCCCGCATTGGTTCTATATATGGCAAGGCAAGCTTTCTCTCTCTCTCTCAGCCTGGCAGTGACTTTCTCGCCATCTCGCTTCCACAGATGGGAATGAATCATCGCGCGACGTGCGACGTTTTGTCTGCAGTCGTCCACATTTGTGAAATATGTGCCAGAAATTTCGCTTTCGACGGAGACGAATAGCAAAAGCAACGGCAGGACAGAGAGGGAGGGAGGGGGGCGAGTAGTTTATGCAACGGCCAGGCAGGCAGGCAGGCAGGCAGGCGGGCAGGCCCAACGGCTAATGTCGAGCATATGTTGGCTGTTGCACTGAACGGACAAGTGGCAAAAGTGGCATTCCCGTTCCCAATGCCATTACTATTCCCATTCCCATTTCGATTTCATTTGCTGTTTTCCTTTTCGTTTCCTTCTACTTCTGTATTGTGCATTCAACTTTGACATTTGGCAAATCTACATGGCCTGAGATAGGGTGGATTTTATGTACACACATACCTACATATGTATGTACATCTGTATCTGTTGACCATATTACTGTCGATGCATTTGGCATTGCGTCTTGCGTCAGCATAGATTAAGGGATTGAGAGTTAAGGGCTGACTGCATACTGTCTCCAATGTTGCCTTCTGCACTCCGACAACATGGCTTATAGACGATTCCCAGGCTCTGTTCAATTCACAATTTGCATAATGACAGATTAAGACTCCCTGGGAAAATTGCACAGCGAGTTGACCCACTTCTTGTATATGGAAAAGTTTGTCTGGAAAATATGGAAGCTATAAGATAGAGCATTTAATCGATAAGCTGCCAACGTAGAATCTAAACAATCTCCTCAAACTATGCAGATTTAAAAAATCAACTAGCCGAAAACAATTAAAGGGAGCCTCACACATAATCGCCTTTAGAGCAAATGAATTTACGATAAAGTCTGGCTAATAGAGTTGTTCCCGAGCCATCAGCTTGCTAAAATTAAAAAATAGAAATTCTAAAACAGATATGAACAATTTTTTACCACCGTAGTGTCTCTCTCACCTGGCAAAGGTAAGCCACTAAACATTCGATAAAAGTTGTGAAAAATTTAACAGATGCACTTTAAAATCTGCTTGCAAAACTTGTCCCAAAAGTATGCAGAAATTAATAGAAATAAATAGGAATAAATTTGGTTTTAAATAAGTAACTATTTGCAGTGTTCTTTAAATATTTAATGTGTTCCCAAAATGTTTTCTCTGAGTGTGGTATCAGGTGCGATGTGCCAGAATTATAGATAGTTTGAGTGGGCTGACAACCTGAAATTGCATTTGAAATTTCAATTCTTTTCGGTACTTTTCCATATCTGCCAAATATCTGAACTGAAATGTGCAAACAGTGCGCTGGGCGAGTGGGGGGCGGGGGGCGGGGCGGTGGGGGCGAGTGGGGGCGAGTGGGGGGGGGGGGGATGCATAGAGCCAGGCCAGAGATCGTAGGGGTAGAGAAAAAAATATAGAGGTAGAGAGCTGTATGCGGTAACCTTGAGAACGCTTTGAATTTTTAGTTGGGACAAAGGGTGTGGTGTGCGTCATTGAGAGAGCAGAGAGAGAGAGTGAGAGCGAGCGAGCGAGCGAACGGGAAGTGCAGTTGCAGCGGCGCTGTGCATGTACATACGTATGTATGTGTGTGTGTGTGTGTGTCTATGTACGTATGTATGTGCTTTCAAACTTTTTGCTTTGCCACATTTCTTTGCCGACGAACCTCTAGCCCCCTCGCTCGCACCCTGGCTATCTTTCACTCTTTCTTCTGCCCTCTCCCACCCACTCTCTTCTGCACAGTGAGCATCTTGTTGTTGCTTGTTTTTCGTTTAGTTTTCGTTTTACTCTTATTTTTTGTGCGCAAATGCAATTCACGTTCAAGGCCAGCACCAAAAGCATGTTGGTGTGTGTGCTATGTACATGAACAGGCTCGTATGTGGAACTCTATGGATTTATGTACATACATACATATGTACATGTGCATATGTATGCATGTGCTGTCGTCAGTTGTCAACTGTATTTTCAGTACAGCCACACACAGATACAGACACAGATGCAAAAGCACAACTATACATAGACAAATTATATACAACACACACACACACACAATCAATAAACTGCAATTTCTCTGCTTTATCTGTATATTCCGTTCCGTACCGTTTTGTTGCCCCGCCTCTGTTTTAATGTTATCTCTGCTCTTCTTCGCATTTCTGGCACATCTTCGTGTTTGTCAAACATTATTAAGAGCAAACGGAAGAGGGAGAGAATTAAGGAAGATAAGATAAATGGCTGCAGATGGCTGCATTTCTAAACCAAGAAGAATAAACCATCTGGGAGGAGCAGGTACCTTTTTTTTATACCTTATAATCCATAAATATTCTAAAAATAGAAGATGAAACAGCATTTTCAAATCATTTTAATCGGATTATTTTAAGTTTATTTGTTCTCTAATTTTTTTTTGAATTGAATTTATTTTTAAATCTATTTAAATTCATGCAAAACTTCGTAAAGTGAAATATTAGAATGGAAATTTTAGAATTTGAAAAATTGGTGAAATCAATAAAATCTTCAATAGGTTTAAACTATTTAGATTGAACCCACAGCCAATTTATTCAAACGAATGCAAAAGAAGATCAACTCAATATGTTGCAAATTCCCAGGAAATGCATATGAATGCATAATTTTCCATCCCACTGCATCAGTTATTGCACCCACGAGGAAACAAGACAAGGAACGCCATAACACGTCTCTCCGCCTCAATTTCCCTGCTCTGGAATTATATAATTTGCCGTCAATGGCAATGAAAATGCCATGCAATCAAGCGTAAAATATAGAGAATTACCAATTATAGAAAATAATACAATATGTGTGGGTTAACTGGAAAACTCTTATCATAATAACGCAATAGAGTGTGACCTTAGGATGGGCTGCATACTACTCTGATCTGCCACACAATTTTTCTTTTTCCCAAAAGGAATTTAACATTTGCTTCTTATAAATTTTTTTTTAATTGTCTGGTACACTATTTTTTATGGAAAGTTATTGAAAATCCTTAAACTACTTAAATAAAAACCTCTCATTTAAGATATTTATTAGGATATCTAGATGCAGACTCAACAGCCTTAATTTGTTTGTTTAATATTAGCTCGTGCATTTTTTAAGCAACTTTTTTATTGCTATTCCTATTCCTAAGGAGCACAGAGAGGCGCATTGATGACTTCAGGGTATTCCATATTCGATATGTGATACTAAACCGTTCGTAATGGATTTCCAGTGTTCTTCCCCAATACGTAGGAGGCAGATGATGCGGTAATCGACATCAACAAAAAGCTGAGTAATAACATTTCTCAGCTTGAAAACCAAATTAAATGCAGAGAAGTGCAACCAAAAGGGGTTAAAAGTTAAAAAGAAAAATCTACGCATTTAATTTTTAAAATATTTTCTCCAAAAACCGCATCACTTACCGAAAATAAGCCAAAGGCATAAAAAGCAGGCTCATACATTTCAGAGGAAGAGCAAGCAAGCTGTATAAATCCCCTTTTTTGTTTTGCTGAATGACAACCACGCCCGTGACATTGTTTGATAGAAGCCGATGCGATTGTACACAATCAAGTTGTGTGTAAACTACTTACTGCGTTGCATTTAATGGCGAGCGTAAAGTTTAATTGCATAAAAAAAAATATCGCGAAATTTCATACGAAATATTTTTGTAATTCGCATTTGGCTTAACTAATTAAAATTTTATTGGGATTTCTCGCATAAATACTTGGCCTGGATTGGTTTGGCTTGGCTTGGCTTGGCTCATTTTCCTTGAATATGTGACGGAAATTGCCCAGGCCATATGGAAAGCGGGCGGGGAAAACGTTTTAGGCAGGCGCCATTGGAATGCAAACAACACTCGAATGATTGAAATATTCTATTTAGAGGGCAAGGTCAGGCACAAGGCTGTGGTGCTGCAGCTCGCTCACTCTCTCTCTCTCTCTCTACCAGGCTCTCATTTGGAAAGAGAGTAAATGTACCTCTTGGGCGCATATGTTCGTGTCTCGATGGGACGTGGGCGTCGGCGTCGGCTGGGGCTGTGGCTTTGGCAGCTGCAGCAGCTGGATGCTCCGTCCTGCAAATGCCAAACAAAGTGACCCATATGTATGCGTCATTCCCGTCGACACTGCTGTTGCCAACTAAACCACTTTTCCTGGCCATGTTCCCCTGGTTTCGCCGTGCCCCCCTCCTCGTTGGCATGGCTGCTGCAGCTTGATGGCCACTCGACGCTAATTGTGTCCTGTGGCGCTTGTCAAATGCATACGCGATACGAGATACCATTCCAATCCTGCGCTGCGAGCTCCTTGACGTAAGCTGTACCAGATTTCAGCAGCTGTGTGCTTCATCCATTTTTAATTAAAATTCCGTGTGCACATCAGAATTCAGATGGATATCGATTGGGGAACAAATTGCTATTTTACACATTTTTTAAAGATCTTTACGAACTGTAAATATCATTAAATAAATATTATAGAAATGTTTGGGTAGGGGTGATATTTTGTATTTATTTATTTTTAAGAGAAATAAAACTTGTGTATTCGTAGCATCCTTTTTTCCCGATTATCCAGAGAATACTTATGTAGAAAATTTTAAAGTTTACAGAAAAAACGGTAGTTTGAGTTGCACGAATCTGCCAATAGATGGCGCTGCAAAAAGCTTACCAGCTCTGTTAATGTAACAGAAAAGCTTTTCGGCTCTGTTAACTTTGCAGAATAGCTTTTTTGGCTCTGATGTTTATAGCCGCTTTATGCTGGCAAATTGAAAGAGAAACTACTAGTGTGGGGATCCTTTTCCACCCTCACCCTCAACCCTCGCCCACCCACCGTGCGAGATTTACGCATAGTGTGTGTTTTTTTTTCAAGAACATAAGTTGCAGGTAAGGCAGACCGGAAGAAACCATCACTACTCATATAAACATTACGCATACGCAATGTGGGCGATTACCTGACAAGGTAAATGTCAAATCACAGCATGATTGAAAAATTGTCATTGAAATTGGTCAGGCAGTTGCGTGAGCATTTGCTCGGACCCGTCAAGTCGCAGGGAGAATAAAATAAACAAACAGATGAATAGACAAACCGATAATCAAAGTGATACCCCCCGACCGATTGAGGAGCCCACAACTGCAATTGTCAGTTCAGTGGGATTCAAACGGAAATTGTGACAGTTCGACTGGACTGGAGGGGTAAAACTGACCCCACATGTCAATGCAAAGCAACTTCAAAGCGACGAAATGATGGACAGTTCACAGGGCGCACAGGGTGCACAGGGAAGAGGGTGTGTGTGCCGTAAATACAGGTTAATGGCAGGTAATTGAGGAAAACAATTTCGCATTCGCATAACTGGCAAATGAACAAACCGTTTCTCTCAGCGAATTTAATTGGGCAAAGAGAATTCATAACCGGAATATGTAGTTCGACGATAGGGGGTGCAAACTGAACATGGCATGGCATTTGAATGCCAAATGACAATTAGTGTTTTCCAGGGCCAAACTTACAAATCAATTCTCACACAAACACACATACACATACACCATTTGCATATGAGAAATAGTTAATGACCAAAACAGAGACGTTGTTGACCCCTCAAAACAGCAATTGAACTTTGAATTTGAACGGAATTTCCAATGCAAATACACTGAGAGATATCGAGCAAACAGGCGGTGAGAGCGAAATAAAAATATAAAAAAAATAAAATAAAAAAATAATATAATAAAAAATAAAAAGTGAAATAAAAACTAAGTAATAAAAATATAGTAGAGTAAGATTTATATTGGGAACTACTGAATTCAATACGACATATTATTTTGAGATGTATATTTTTGGTCCAGAAACCTGATCACCGACTCCCCCGAAGCCTTTTTTTTCCCTCAGTGTACTTGCATTAGTTTGCATGCCAATTAGTGCACAAATAATTTATGAAGTTTTGTTAATTGCCGCCCTCAAACTGAACCGTAGGCCTGGCCTACGGCTTCCTGGCTGTTAAAGACTGCTTAAGACGATAACATAGAAAAAAGACAAGACCAATCGGACCGAGAATTCCTTTTAAATTAAAATTGATTTAAGTTATGGAACTTGGCGCTAGCGTCAAGGGTGAATTGGATTTGAGACATTTGTATGGCAGTGCGGGATTGGATTGGTTGGATTGGGACTAAATCAGAAAGTATTACTGCCAAAAATTGTCAGCATTGCAAATAGATGTTTCGGGCTGATACATAGAAAATCCATGGCAAGTGCAACCTACTTTGGGATATCTGATTTCTTAAAGGTCTCTTTATGCTTAACCACGGGCTTAACCTTGGATGAATCCTGAGATTTAAAACTGTTCGAAAACATGGGGAACAAAACCTTATTAGATGTATCCCCCGCTATGGCTACATAAGCTGGCAGACAGGCCTGACTTTTAGTACACAGCCAGTTAGCTGATGAAGTCTGCAAAAATCCCATGTGCCTCCGGAACAGCCATTTCTATTTTAGAATGCATTTTGTAAGCCGAATGGGGCAATTCAGTTGCTTGATTTTTATACCCGTACTCAAAAAAGTAGGGTATATTATTGTGGTAAAGTGGTGTGTGTAACGCAGGGGACGTTTCCGCCCCATAAGTATATATCGATCAGCCATAGCCGGTCGTATAGCCATGTCTGTCTGTCCGTCTGTCTGTCTGTCCGTCTGTCTGTCCGCTGCTAGGGCAACCAATTGGTCCCCCCCCCCCCCCCCCCGCCCTGCCCTATTATAGCCAGAATGAGATTATTCGTTCCCCGCCCCCTCCGCAAACGACAACGCAACTCTCCCTCGCTCGCACACTCTGCGCGTTCAGTCGCGGCAACCCTAGCGGGGGTGTAGATATGATGGAACTGTACAATCTACATGTTAGTGTAGAATGCTTGTATATGTAGTGTAGATATAGTGTAGCAAAAAATGTAAATTTAAAATCTAAAATCTAAAAAATCATAAGCTCAAAATGTATATACTGACTGAGTACGGGTATAAGTAGAGTCGTGTCCCCAGAAACGACTCACACGTTCCTTCTCGTTTTTATATAGGGACAAAACTTCCAGTTAACCTGCGAATATTTTTTTTTGGAGATTGGAAACCCTTTACCATTGAAAGACTTTGTTAAGTGAGATATTAAACTTTAACTAGAGATCGTTTTTTGAATGCTTCTAATGGTTTGTAAGTCACATAATAACGTTGCCGCCGGACTCTATGACCGGCACGACGCCCGTCGCTGTCGTTGATGGTGCCACCCAATTGAAGGCATGCCCAGCCGCTGGCGCCGCCGCTGCCGCTGCTATCTCCACCTGGCTCTGCCTCGTCAGCGTAGCCGTCACCGTCGGGCCTGCTGTGGTGGTGGCTGCTATACGCGGCACGGGCCGCAGTACGTTCGTGCTGGTGTTGGGTCATTTGACGGGCAGCGGTGGCAGCAGATTTTGGGCCACATTCGACAGCTGCCTCAGATGATTCGCCTGGACGTACTGAAAGGCCGAGGAGCGCTCCAAGTGCTGCGACAAATAGAACTCGCCCAGCGAGTAGAAGCGCCGCTGATCGAAGGGCTGGAAGGGAAAGCCGGGAAACCGCTGTCCACCCACATAACTCTTTGCTGCCGCTGCTGCTGCCGGGGGATAAAGGGGTATTCCATGCGGTGGGCGTGGCAATGCACCATAGGCTGTGGCAGTGGCTGGGCCGTGCGCCGACGACTGTTGTAGTTGTGGATGCTCTGGCAGGGCATGTTGATGCTGGTGCTGGTGCTGCTGCTGCTGCTGTTGGGCCTTGAAGAAGTCCAGGTTCTTGAGATTCTCCAGCATCTGGTGGGAAGCCTGATGTTTCTTTAGGTAGGCATGGCTATCAGGAAAAAGATAATAAAAGGAAATTTATAAATTGATTTTAATAATAAAGATTTATTTTTGTATTTAGTGTCTCGGTGTAGAATGAGCAACTCACCGACGGAAGGTCTTGCCGCATAGATGACACGGATATATGCCATCGCTAGCCTCATCGTTGGCTCTGCCCGACTCCTGATTGATGTCGGTAGACTCGCCGAGGCTAGCCAGCCGCTTCTTGCTGGGATTGACCGCTCCAGCAGCCGCCTCCGCTTTGGGCTTGTGCCAGCGCCGGTGGGAGGCCAAGTTGGCCGGGCAATTGAAGACCTGCAGGGGAGAGATTCGAATCAGTAAGTCCCGGATGCTGCTAGCAGGCACAGTGACTTGCCTTCTCGCACTCGGAGCACTTGTACTCGATGTGAACGATGCGGGGACAGCGGTGCTGGGCCAGCATGAAGGCGTCGTCGTAGACGGTGCGACAAAGCTGGCACAAGTAGTCGCCAATCTTATTATCGATGCTGGCCAGTATGGCCTTGGCCTCCTCGGTGATTTCCACCACATTGAAAGCCGGATCAATGTCACCTTTGCGCACGACCAGCTCCTCATCGTCGCGCAGCTTGCGTATGATGGTGCCGGACACGGGACTTATGGTCTCCTCATCAATGGCCGTGTGCTTGCGTAGCTTGGCCCTCTTCCGTTCGGCCTTGTGTGGCCGCATTGGGGGAGCTGCTGCTGCTGCTGCTGGCAGGGGAGGCGGCGGCGGCGCAGGGAACGAAGCAATCAGTTGCGGCGGCTGAAATGGAGGACCACCAGGATGCTCGGCCCCAGCGCCCACACAACTCAGATCCGTGTAGGTTTTCTCGTTGCGGAGCTCTTCCCTGGCAGCGGCCAGCTCCTCTCCGGCCGCCTCCACCTCTGGCTGTGGAAAATCCCTTTCAAACAATCGCGCCAAGCCGTCCACGGCTTGATTGTGCAACTCCTCGTCCTCGTACAGCAGTTCGTTGCGTTTCAGGGCCTTGGGGTCGAGAAGTTCGGCCTGCAGCCGCAAAGCGGGGCTCTGCAGGTCCACAGTCTCATCATCGTCACTGCCCAGCACATCGACGAAGACCTCCTCATCATCATCATCGTCAGTCACCACACCATCACCACCACCAGCACCAGCATCAATCTGAACTTCTTGGGTCTCGTCGCTGACTTGAACCTGGACCGTCTCGTCATCAGCGTCGTTGACTTCCTCCGTGTCCGTGGCCTCCTCATTGTAGTCATGGGAACTGACAACTGTTTCATCCTCGTCCTCGGTCAACACGATGGTCGTCTCGTCCTCATCGTCCACGTAGATGGGCGAGCTGGCAACGGCAATGGGGCGACTCACGCTCGATTGACTTGCCGGAATTTGCTCAAAGTTATTTTTCGTCGTCTCGTGAAAATGACTTTTATTAAAGGACGACGACGCCCCCTCAAAGCCGCGCATGCCATAGCAGTTTCCCCCCTGATGAGGCTGCTGCTGCTGATGCTGCTGATGATGGTGAAGATGATGAAAGTAGCTCGTGGCTGGCTGCAGCCCGTGCAGAGCATGAGAAGCTGTTGCTGTTGCAGGCAGAGCCGTGGCTGGAACTGGTATTGGTATTGGGACTGGAACTGGGGCTGGTGTGTTCACCATGTGCGGCCGCCACAGGTAATTCTCCTCGGACATTAATCTCTGGCGCTTGCGGGGTGGCGAGGGCGTCGATGGCGGCGTAATTGGCACAATGCTGGCCGCTGCACGCAGCGACAGATCCAGCGGGGAGAGCAACGAAGTTGCCGGACGATGTTGGCTAAATTGCGGAAATGTCTCGTTGATTGCTGGTAATGCCCGCAACTGGGACTGGGACTGCGACTCGGCGTAATGGTTTGGTTGGCTGTGATGCAGTGGCTGGGTCTGAAGCTGCTGCTGGTGCTGCTGCTGGTGCTGGCTTAGATGTGGATGTGACAGAGACAGTGACTGAGGATGGGGATGTGACAGTGGATTCATGTTCATCATTTTTCCTCGCTCTCTTGGTTTTTGCTATTCTTTTACGGAGCACAACACTTGTGATTTCATTTAAGGTTTCCGCTTAGCCTCTTTCATGGACAATATAATGTTGCTTGGTTGATTTAACTGCAAAAACAGGATAATTGCATTCAAACTTTAAGTATTCAGTATGAGTTTTTATATCAGAGAGGGTTATTGCTCAATTTTGGTTGCTATTATTCCCATAGTTTGGTTGGGGTTGATATAATGGCCCCAATACGTTTGTACACTCCAAAGAGTTTTGTAATATTCACTGGGTGAAGTCAGACACACACACACATGCCAAAAATTAATACCAAATAAAATTTAAAATTAATTGAATGTAAATTTAAAACTTAGATTGGCTTACTTATACAAATAATTATTTAAATAACATATACTAATAAGCTCCGTTATAATTTAAATTATGATTTCTGTCCATAAATTGTGAGTTCCTGTATAAAACTCTTTGTAAAAACTATTCCTGGTATGGATGAAATTATTGGTGATAGAGTTGCTGGCTAGTACATTTGAGGATTGAGTAATTCAAAGGCGCAAAATGTGGAGACAATATTGAATAGCTCTTATTTGAATTTGTCTGGCTCTGGCAGTAACAAACATTAAATACAAATATTAACAATGATTTTTTAATGTAATAATTTGTATATTGTTTCAATATTTAAACTCAATGAAGAGAACGATAAATTATAGGGAAACAAATAACTAGATGAGTGGTCCACCTGAGGGAGATCTTTCCAAGGGATAACTTTCACTTGAATTATTTCTTTCGACAGAAATAAGCGTACTCGTAATTAGGTCATTTAAGATACACAACTTTATTATTTTTACGGAATAATCTAAGTTTTTTCGTATCATAAAATACATTTTTAAAGCACTAAGTCTTTCAGTATTCGGATCGAAAATTCATTTTCTATAGCTCAACACTATATTTCTGATAAAATTGTGAATGTTGTAATTAATTTTAATTTAGTTTTATTAACACTCTTTAGTCTTTAGTCTAAGTTTAGTCTTTAGTGTAACTTTCATTTGCTGAGAATGTTCTAGGAATATTTTTGGGGAATATTCCAAGTCCAACTTCAATGCTAAACTTTTTAAATCAGTCTTTAAAAACTATTTCCAAACTAATATTGAGTCACTGTTGGAATCCTTGCGACCTTTCGACCGTTAGATGGTTGATTTACCGTTACACGCAACTTTCTCGTGGCAACCGTTGAAACGAACTGAACGGAGGACGCCACGCGGCACCGTGTCCGTGGCTGGCTGGGAACGCTGTCGCACTCACTGTGGCTGGTCACCTGTCGCAATGCTCTGCGCTGAAATTGGGTTTGAATGCGAAGAAGCCAATGGAAGCCGCCACACACACCACCCACCACCCACCGAGGTCAGCCACCCAACTCACCCAGCGCTGGCCTGGCGAGAGATGCCCATGGCCCGGACGGCTCTCGCTCGCACACAGCTGCGGAATCCTGAGCGAGCTGCTCTGGGATTCGCCCGTCGCTCGCATAGCTTGACTTGACAATCCCACCCCCAGCGCCCACGCAGCCGGTGGGCGCATGCGCCGACACGCCCCTGAAGGAACGTGCTACACGGCGAATGTTTTTTGGGGCCGCCAAACGGGGACGGGGGACATGGGGCTGGGACTGGCTGCCCAGCTGCTGGCATCTGTTGCTCTGCTCTGGCATCGCCCATTGGCAGCAGCATGCAGAGAAGAGCAGAGCAGGGCAGAGCAGAGCAGAGCATGTCCATGGCCATGCCACGCCTTCGCAAACCAGAAACCAGCAACCAGAATGGAATGTCATTCAATTGAAAATGAAGAATTTCATTGCAGTGCATTGGAGTTTTCCCCCAACCCCTCCCCACACACACCGCCATTTGTATGGGTGGAGGAGGATGAGCATAAGGACTGGATGGGGCAGGTGATTGAGCCTTTTGTTGCCTTTGCTACCTGTACTTTGTTCCTCTCGTTCTCGTTCTCGCCCTTGCTCTCCCTCCTCATGCTCATCTTCATCATCATGGTCAGCTTTGTTCAGACATTTTAAGAACCAAAGGATTCTTTTTGTGGTTTTGAAATTTTAATGTTGCTTCACCGTTGCGACTGGGTTTTCCAAAATGGCGTCAGCCATGGAAAAATCAACTTGTCTTAGCCAGGGATGGAAATTAAATTGAAGAAAGTTCCAAATTATGGTGCATATTATTTTTAAATAATTCATTTTTAATCAGATGACATAATTCTACAGTTATAGTATGGGTTTTTTTTTTTGGCTTCCATAAACTGGGTAAAAAAGTTAAATTTCTTCTGGTAAAAATCTCCCTTAAGTGCTCTTAATTTGCAAAAAATTATACTTGAATAAAAACAGATTGGAATATTTTAAAATATTAATTTTTTTATTCAACTTTTAACTTGCTTAAAAATAATTACTGATTCATGTTAAAAATGTTTCCAATATTCCGGTTCACTCACTGGCTCCAATTTCTTTTTTGCACGCACGCAGCCCTGCACTCGATTGCAACTGAATGCAATTAATTAGAGCAAAAGGTCTACAAAAACTTAATTAAATTGTTGCGTCGGGACGCCAGCGACAGCGACAGCAGCAGCCTCCACAGACTCCACGCCCAAAAACCATTCAGCGACTAATAAACAGCAATTTAATTATGAACTTTTATATCCTGCCGCACAGCCGAATACACACTGCTGCTCCTCTCCCCCATATCACAATGGGCCGAAAAAAAAAGAAATCGGTTCATTAAGGCTTCAGCCTTGCTAGGATTTTCTGTGGCAACGAGGTCAACAGGTTTCACTTTGTGGCTTTTTCCTGGCCGTCGGCTAATTGTCAGTTTGTCGGGGGCTCATTAGCATAGCTGGGGCCTTTGTGAGATGCTCAGACATTACCCGGCGCCTTGCCTGTTCCTGACATTTGTCCAAGGAAATGTTCCTGACGAGAATGAAAAACATTTTCCGCTCATTTGCATGAAGATTTCATGGGCTAATTGCCCATGTTGTTGTCGTTGCTGTAAACATGTTCAAGTGTCGAATTACACACGTAACAATTCAGAGCACCAACCATATCCCCCCTGCCACCCAGCAACCGCAACACGTTGCATGCCACCCCGTCGCCTCGATTGGGAGGGTGGGTTCGGTTCGTTTGTTTGTTTGGGCCATGGGTTTTGGGTTTTGGGTTGGCTGACTTGCGGTCTGCGGTGTCTGTTTACATAGCGAGGGTTGGGTAATGGGCTCTCAATTAGGCTCATATGATGATGATTTTCGGATTTTTGAAAACGGATTTGCGATATGTTTCGTCGCGAGGGAATGAAGTGAGGCAAGTGCTGATAATATCCGAGTTATGCGCTTCATTGGACCGGGTCTCAAGTCAATAGAATTGGATCGAACCCACATGCGAGGGCATATCTTTATTCTGATAATGTGCAGCTGATTCGCTTGCACATGCACCCAGAACCTTGAACTCGTATTCGTGTACTCGAAAAATGATTTCTCATAGCACATGCAGTTGCAATTTTTATTCCTGAAAAGACAGTCCGTCTTCTGGAGGAGACTGCAGAGCGCTAAAAGGCTATTTCAGGTCTGTAATATCATTTAAAATCAGCACCCATTTAACGACTGAGTAAATAACAGCCAAACGTCAATGATTTGGATATTAATTTGTAGGAAATATATATCAGAAAACAATACTAAAAATGTATCAAAAGCTTATTAAACTTTGATCAGACAAACAGTTCAGTAAATCACGCAAATACCTGAAATAATTCGCCCAATGAACAATTTTTTTCACACACCAAAGCACTTTATTCTCCTCCAGCTTAAGTTCGCTATTGAATTGCGCTTGGAGGGACATTAAAGACTTCCTGTATGCCACGCAGAGGACAAAACGCTATTGACAAACCATAAGCCCAACTGCAATCGACTGCAGTGGAAGGAAGTGGAGTCCAGCGTCGCCTCGCTGGAGATGTTGATGACCTTTGAGGGAGAACCAGGACCAAGCCGAGCCGAGCAGAGCCGACCAGCACTGAGGGGCCAGTTTTAATTAGAGTGGCATGAAAGTATGCCCGAGGCTGGGGGATTGCTGCTGATTGGCTCTATGCGATTCTTATGCAAATGCTTTTAATTACAAAACTGTGAAACTGAATTACGCAACATTGCGTTATTTAAGTGAATTATTTTGCGGCAGGTTCGTGTGTTTAATTGCCCAACTCAACGCCTTTTTAATTGCCAGAACCGTTGAGCCTCGAAAAGAAATGGCCAGATGGATGGACGAACGCCCACCCACCCATCACGGCACAGGGCACACACACACACACAATTTTTCGTTTTATTTTAAATTTCATTTTAAGTCGCCTCTAAATTGAATTCGACGTTAACTTGGCTGTGTCTAAAATCGATTTTGATTGATTCAATTTTAATATGAATATGGGGATGTGTGAGAACATGCGGAGGTGGTGCCGAAAGTTTTTGAAAATCATTTCCAATCTTGCTTGCTAGAAACAGTAGTAAGACCCCACTCTAAATCTCAGAAATCTCCATCCAATCAAGTTTAAAATCCTTCAATAGTCCCATAGTCTTTCATAGTCCCAGAAACTCATATATTGTGCAATGCAGCATCGATTTTCTGAGTGAAATCTGAAGCTATTGACCCTCTCTCTCCAGCACATGAAATTGAAAAGTTGCCCTCGTCGTATCGACGAGGCTAATAGAAAATATTTGTAGATAAAAAGGCGACAAATTGAATTTGCAAAGGTCACACATAAGTGCGACACTTGATAGCAGGCATTGGCACTTCACGTGAGGTCCGTGCCCATTCCCCCCTGCCTGCTACTTGAAATTGTTGGAATTTTCTTAGCTCTGCAGCCAGTCAGTGGGGATTTCCATTTGCCCATCCCCAAGATATTCACATTATTTTCGCCAAATTGAATTGGCAAAGTGATTTGATTGTGCGTGAATAAAGACATTTCCGATCAGAGGGTGTGTGTGTGTGTGTGACCAGGAAGCAGGGCCAACCCCTTTAACGCAAAAAAATAAAAACTGTAGAAAATAATACGGTCTGAAAACCGCATTACGGATTTTAATTAACCGGGCCAGGAATATTTCAACATCCATTAAAATATCATATTACATTCAGAGAGACAGAAAGAGTGAAAGAGAGAAAGAGTGAAAGAGAGAAAAGGGAAAGTCAAAAGAATGCTTTTTACCAACTTGACTTGGGGAAAGGGTTTTAGTGGCTTATGTGGCCAACAAGCAAAGAAGCTTTTATCATTATATAAATGCAAAAAATGTATATAAATATAGGAAAGATAGTTGCCTGACTGGCTTGACTTGGCTTCCCCATTGATTGGCCATTGAACATATTGTTTTTCTATTAATTATACGAAAATTACGCAAACAAAGAGCACATATGGCTTCTGAATACCGCAAGTATCCCGCGGGAAATAAAAAAAAAAAACCTCAAAGAGAGACACGCAAGTCTCGATAGTCTAGAGATAATCACCATAATCGGACTCTGCACTTTAAGCGATTTTCAATACAATACGTCGAGTACACACACGTTATAAGAGGGGGAAAATGCCACCAAGAACGAGGCGAGGAGCGGACGCATGACGCATAATGGAAAAACTGAAAGCGGAAAATGCGAATTGCTAGGGGAAAATTGTTGGGCAATCCGCTTACAATACAAGCGGCGGGGGGGTTGCAGCAGGAGGGTGATGGACACCGGGACGTACATGGGTGGGGATGGGATGTGCCGTAATTACATATGTGTCCGTGTCCGTGTCCGTGTCCTAGTCCTTTGTTCGCACACACTCTGCACGGGTTTACAGTTTATTCTTGGCCTGGCACTGTGATGTCCGTGGTCACCTGTAGAGCAAAAACCTTGGCAATCTCTCCGGTTCCCTCGACGACCTCCACGAAGAACCTGTAGGTGCCATTCTGCAGATTCGCTGGATAGAGATCGTACGCACTGATATTCGCCAGCGAGAAGTTGCCCACTCGCACGGGACACCTAATGACCTCGCTCATCTGCATGCTCGATTTGAGAAAATACCGCAGCATGGGACTGCCCGAAAAGTCGTACAAGAAGCCGCAGAGATCCAGGTTCTTCATCTGCAGCAGAGTCACAAAAATCGCGCCACCCTCGGGCCTGACGCGCACCTTCAAATTGAAGATGAGAAAATTGCTGCCCAGCTCCTGTCTGAGCCGCAAATTCAGATCGAAATGGTAGCGATCGTCATGGATGTAGGTGAACGCCTTCATATAGCGCGACTCGCCGTAAACGTGGATGTTGCTGATGCGGAGAATGGGTTTCTGTAAGGCAGGGCAACGCCATGAGCGATCGTTCAACCATGGAAAGCAACAATACCTGATACGAGGAATCTTCATCATCCCACAACGATTTCGAACCATTTTCATTGGAGAATATCAGCTGGAACAGCGACAAAAACAATGCGATCTGAATGAGTTTCATGGCGCAATGGGAACCAACTGCCAGAGGGCAGATCAGCGGCAGATCAGCGGCAGATCAGCGACAGATCTCCGTTCTGCTCCATGCTGCAGCTTAATGTCAGCCATTTATTAGATTACGATAATAAATCACTCGTCATTTTCTGGCGGCTCTATGATATGTACAATCGAGGTGATCTGCATGGCAAAAACTTTGGCTATCTCTCCGCTCTCCTCGACAATTTCAGTGAAGAAGTTGTAGGTGCCATTCTGCACGCCATCCGGTGAGATATTTTCGGCCATATCGGCATTCAGCATGGAGTAGTTGCCCACCCGGATGGGGCACTCAATGATGTCGCTCAGTATGACCGTTTTCTTGAACAACATCCGCAGCATGGGGCTGGCATTGTACTCGCTGAGGAAGCCACAGAAATTGATGCGTTTCAGCTCGAACAAGCGGACGAACTCAGCCCGGCCATCGGGCCGGACGCGCACCTTGACATTCATCACCAGATGGTTGCTGCCCAGCTGCCGGACCAAGCGCACATTCAGATCGAAATGGGTGCGATCCTCGTGTATGCGCACCTTGACCCTCATGTAGCGCGACTCGCCGAACACCTTGATGCGTTGGATGGACACGATGGCTTTCTGCGACAAAAAGTTTAAATTACTTTTGATTTATTCCAACTAAAAATAAACTTTAAATTTGATACCTTTTGATATGGTTCAATTTCGTAAAAAGAGCTCTCATCCTCCAGCCACTTGGTTGGTTAGCTGTAACCACCACACACAGGCCAAGAGCCAACCGATCCGAATGAGTTTCATCATGCAATGAGCGCCACAGTTGATCCTCTGGCTCCAATGTAAACAACATGACTACGCCCGATCCATTAATTAGTTGGGTTCTATTTTTATTAAAAATATATCGCTGGTAATTTGCTAAATTTGTATCATCAGCAGATCGTTTCGATTGAGTGCATTTCATTTCCTAGTGCAGCTGAACTTGAACCCAACAGAGTGTACTTTTGGGGATGGAGAGTTCCCTGCGGATGGGTTCCAATTTGTAGCCCTTGGCAGCACATGTTATATGTCAGCACCTAGTCAACGACTCAATTAGCTAACCGACGGATATGCGCCGCCATCAGAGCTTATTCATTAGAGCCCATCATCGAAGCAGTCGAGTCGAGTCGAGTCGAGTCGGAAGCTCCAAAGTGTTGAAAAGCCAATTAGCGCGCTGCAGGCAGGAAGGAAGCCATAGGTGCCATGGCCCATGGCCCTGCGTGTAAATGGAAGGGAGAGTCAGCCAGCCCGCCAGCCCGCCAGCCAGTCCAATGAAAAGTTTACAATTTTATGAAAGGAGCTGCTGCTGGAAAAAACCGCACGCACCACCTGAAAGTTAAGACTTCTCCTTGCTCCCCCTTGCGAGCTGCGAGCTGCGGTGTTGCGTAATTTTCTGCGTCATTTAATTAAGCCGATTCATAGCGCCTCCTCTGCCCCCAAGGAGTTGTGTGTGGGTCCAGCTAAGCTGCCGTAGTCGTAGTCTGGCACACACACAGAAACACAGCAGCAACACACATGTGGAAGTAATTAGCTGAGATGTTCATGTTTATTATTCATAATGCTTTCCCCCTTATTATTTATTCATAACTGCTAATAGTGTTTGTCGGGCTTAGGGCCACAACAACTTACGCCTATTAATTGGCATCGCCAGATGCTCAGTGCAGAAACATTGATGCAATGTCTCGACTTAGCCTAGACCCCTCAACACAGTCATCAGTCATCAGTTCATCCTACCCCGAACTGGGCTTCTTGACGCGCGTATCGGCCACGAAGCAGGACACCACCCGATTGCCATTCTCCACATCGAGCAGTCGTACCTCCAGGCGTGTGGGCACCTCCGGTTGACTGCTGGCCACTGGCAGCAGCAGCTCGTAGGTGACATCCTCGCCGGCATCCAGGGGACAGTAGGCGCCGTGCAGCAGATTCTGGCACACATTTGCACGGCTGGCCTCCAGATCGTAGGGTATGGTCATGCCCAGCGAGGTCAGACGCACTTCGGCGGACAACTGCTTCATGGAATTGCGAGCTATAAGAAGGTAAAGCAGGCCAAACGACCAATTAGCATTTATATTTTTGGGCTTTCTCTTTGCTCAGACTTACTGGCAACGAACTGGATGTCGATCTTGGCCTCGGATCCCTTCCACAGGTCGCAGGGCAGCGTTTCGCACTCATCGATCTGCACCATCAGCGGCAGGGGAATGCTGGCATCCGCACAGTGTCTGATGGGAGTATCCGCACTGATCAGGGTCCAAGCCAGGGCCAGCATTAGGCACAGACAAAACTTCTTAATGTTGGACATTTTCGTGGCTTGGTGATTTCTTGGCTGCTTTGGCTTGGCAAGTTCTGTTCTCTTTGCAGGCACTTTGGTTTGTGTTGCCCAAACTGGGCTATCAGAGGGGTATTTATACCCTAACTGATGGCTGGCCAACTTGGTGCTCTTGCACTCGGATCATAATCTAATCCGTTCTGCACTGAGTTTGAATCAGGGAACATTGAACACCTTTTACGACTCTTAGTACGTCCTAATCGAACTCAAAATGGGATGAAGCAGGGAACACCGCGTCAATGTTTTCATATGCCAGAAAGATTGATCTTATCTTTAGCTCGGAAATGCCTGAGATTATTCTACTCGGTACGCAAATGGGTATATATAAATATAATAATGCAGATGTATGGGACAGCTGGTCGGAAGCAGCAATAGCCGACTCGATGTAGGCCAGCCTGTCTGTCTGCCTGTTTTGAGTTGTAGAATCATGGTGTAAGTTCACAGCTACTGCATATAGAGTCGAATCTGGAGCAGATATAATCATAATCATAATCAGGATAAAAAAAACTACTTGGCGTTGCTGAGACCGGATATATAACGAGCGAGATATACCGATCGGATAGTAATTCGTTGCTGAAAATATAGAGAGCTAGAATATTATGCATTGTGGGGAAAGAGGATGGGCAAGCAAATATATAAGCTGAGTACCCCAGCAGTAAGGTGTCGGGTCACGTGTGCCGCTTTCACTGTCTTTAACTGGGAAGCCTCATTATCGCTGGCTATATTTTAATGAATTATGTATGACTCCTCCTGATTACCATGTGAACAAACATCGCAGAAGATAAGTCAAAACATTAGTCACGCCAGAACAGGCATAATCGATGGTCATAGTGCTCGAACAGTGGCCCGGCCAGTACATGCGAACTTTCTGAGTGCAAACCCACTTTATTTTGGGGCACTGATAAGGTCGCCCACTGCGTACGAACACCTGTTGCGGTCTGGGGGACTGGGGCTTCGGGTGCAGGCCCACTTGGACCCGGCACATTAGCAAACGATAGCCAGGCCGACCGGCACACAAGATTAGGACAAGATTCGAGTTGGGGAATTACGATTTGCGTGGCATACTCTTGGGCTACCGGCCGGACAGGCGCAACCCTAAGCACTCTGTAAAGCGGCGCATTAACATCAATTTATATGCATAGCCAATTTGTAGCAAGTTTTATACAATTTCTTACACCCACTTGACTCGACGAGAGCACCAGACCAGCACCAGAGACGAGTCGAGTCGAGTCGAGCAGCACGGGAAGTCAGGGCAGAGTCAAGGGGTGACTGCAGCAGGGCAGAGATCCTTGTGCCCAAATTTCATCAATATTTTCAGATTTTGTTCACAAATTCAACTGTTTTATATGCAAATTAGCTAAGCGATTTCGCTCCCAGCCGGCAATTGATTTCCAAAATATTTACGTACAACATCCAGCAAATGGGTAAATAATTGCGGGACATGACATGCGAAGGGATGTGCGCATTCAATTGGCGGAACAGTTTGTTTAATTTGCATTTTTTTTTATATGTAATTAATTTGTGCGTTAATGAGGATTTAATACATTTTACGTGACATTTTAGTCCCGGAAAATAACTCCGGGGGTGGATCTGGAAGTGCACTTGAAAGTGATTGAATTAGTTGAGCAATGCGATGCATAATCTGCTTACTGAAAATACTTTTATTCGGTTTAGTTTTATTTAGTTAAAGCATAGAAAAATGTGGATTTTGGTAGCTCTGCCAATTGCTACCCACAGCCGAAATTTACTCGTTTTCTTCTTATACGTTTCCTTTGACATTTCTCAATCAAGAAAATTTCCTAAATAAAAAATAAAAGTTTATTTGATTGCGAAATTAATTTCACTTATATTTAAGCAACTTTGTAAGCTTCTACTTCTAACACGAGTTCCTTTAATATTTCCTTGGAAATTGCAAAGTATTTTCCTTGGAATTCCTGCCTTGTACTTGGGGCCACCCATCAACATCAATGCCAGGAAAGTGGAAATTATAGCCTCTCAAATTATGTATTGCCTGGCATCAAACTAACATTTTAATTATACTCGTACTTACCAGCGAGTGAGAGCTTTGAGGGGAAAGCAAACCTGTACATTATTATGCAAATGCATTGAACTTCTTTTCGCTTGAAGCGGTCACATTTCTCAGGTGGAAATTGTGTTGGCAGGCGGAGAAGCGAACAGGGACACATGCCCACAAATGCCAGCACGTAAGTGGGGAGAAATTACTCAACAGCTAGAACTTGTTGAAACGCATGTTTCTCTTGATTTCGGGAAACATGAATTTTGCATTCATTTAATTACACAGCCCCCCCAGTGCAGACTCACAGCAGTGCAGGGCAGGGCAGGGCATGGTAGCGGGCTGTGAGCAAATTAATTAGCATCCCTGGCAGGGCCTTTGCCTGGGCCCTGACATGCTGGAAATATTTAATAAAAACCATTTTTGCATGACGGCATATGCAAATTGCAATTTGGCAAAAAAGGCGACGAGGCGAGTCTCTATGTAGGAGTGCGACTATATCAAAGTGTGCAGCAAAGCGAAAGGGACCTTCCTTCCTTCCATCCTTCCTTCCTTTCTTCGTAATAATGCAGGTGGAAAAATTGTGGAAAAATTGTCTCAAGGCCAGTTGGTCAGTGGCCACAAAACAAATACAATGCTACACACGTTCGTTGCCTTGTTAAAACGGAAACAGCTGAATGCACTCGAATAGTTACAACTACAACTACAGACAGAGCCCAGCCCCACCCCCCTGGAGAGCATAAGGGTTGCCTCTGACCTGACCCCAATCACAGGCACCTGTTGAGGGGGCGGGGGGATGGAAAGGTTCTGGGGTTCCTGCGCAATTGGGCGTGACTTTCAGAAATTCCTCTATTAATTGACAACACACGGCGGCGCCGGGAACTCTCGGGGGTTCCCAAAAATTTAATGAAAAATTAACAACACGAAAATCAAATTGTCGCCTAATTGAGACACAAAGAATCACCAGCCAGCCAGCCAGCCAGCCAGTCAGCCAGTTTGTCATTCGGTATTGAATTACGTACAAACAAATATCAAATTGAAATAGAACAGACAGCGGAGTGGGTGTGTGTGTGGGAGCAGGATGGGGGCTGGCTGTCAGGGCTGTAAGGCCAACGGGATTGGCGTGACAAATTGTTTGGCTTTGGCGCTGGCATTTGATGTCGGACTTGATTTGACAAATTAATTGAGTTAACTGTGCTACTGTGGGGCTGCAGCTGCAGCTGGGTAGCTAACCAGTCTATTCAAATATTAAAACAACCGAATTCCCCCTTCCAAGCCAAACAATTTTAGTCAACTTTAGTTGCATACTTTTCCTCAGACACGAGAAAATCAATAAATATAAAAAGCTCGCTCACCTTATCGATGCGAGTATTTTCAAGAAGGAAAAAGCAAAAAAAAAAAAAAAGGTACATCAAAGATAAGCCGAACATCCGTGCAATACATTTGGGAATATGCAAAATCGAAGAAGCAGCAAAAGAAGGACGAAGGGGCGGAACATTTTTGGCACACAAAAGTGCAAACGGAAACCGGACTAAGTGGAAATGTTTGCCTGCAAAAGTATGCTGGCATCAGATTTTCCGGCCCCGGCTCCGGCCCGGGCCTGGCCCGGATAATTGCATTACTTAGATGCTGCCGTAAATAGAATCGAGCCGGTCGGATGGAGAATCAATGAATCAAGGCTCTGGCTGACTGATGCTAATCAAATATTGCGGTTCCCATTGTCGGCGAAAGGTGAAAGCGCCCCCGAAGATACATTTCCCACTCGCTTTTCTTTGGATGGGGGTTGGGGTGGAGGCGGCTATATTCTGTCGTGCAGGATTTTCCATTGCTTTGACATATTAAATAATGTCACAACAATTACATGTGAGAAGCGGCGACAGTTTTCCCAGTAAGAGAGGCCATATGGGAAAGGGACAGGGACAGGGGACTGATAGCAAGTTCAAAAGCATTTTGAGGAAATCTCATGCTGCGCTGAAGCTGTCCTGTCCTGTCCTGTCCTTTCCACATGCCAAACCAAGTCAGCAAACCATCCCCATCCACAGCCCAACATCCAAAAGGTTGCGCAAAAATCCGCAAGGGTGGATCGAAGCAGAACACAGAACCACTGCTGAAGGATTTCAATAACCTATCATTCAATCTCTGGAGATGCGGCACATTGACAACATTTGAAGCTCACCTCGTTGCTTACCTTGCGCCAACAATTTTTGGCAAGGGCAGAATTATATTTTCCAGCTTACTTTTAGTCTTCTGTTTCTTTTATACATTTTCCCTTCCTGTGTGCCGTAGAAGTTCCATTGTCAGTGGCTTTGGCCGAGAAGGAAATGTCTGTGGGTTTTTTTTTTTTGTATGTCCATTGCCATCGACAGGCTTAGTGGCCTGCCTGCCTGTGGTGGCTGCTCAAGGATTTATTTTTGCACTGCTCCCTGGCACTGTGAGGGGAGCTCGAAGATGAAGTGATAAAATTCTGTTGCCCGATTTTGATGATTTCTCTTTCCATTCGCAAGGTTTGAAGTGATTTCCTGTAATAGATGTAAGAAAATATGTACATAGATCGTCACACTACAAATTGGTGCATTTGTAGCACTAACATTGGGGTTTTGGGTACATCCCCATGCCGCCCGGCAGTGCTCAGCTCTAATATATCAAGTCACCTAAAGGTTGAGCTCTACTGTATGCACTCCCTAATCTCTGCCCTTAGTCAGTGCCAACTGATTGGGCAAAGATGCGATCGAGTGCCACAGCAGCCACCTTCGCAGGCCAAACAACAAACACGACCAATTCGAGTCTAATGCCACCGATTAGATAAACCAAATCCGACAAAAATTCACTCAATAGCCGGTTCGGCTTTGGCTATAAAACGATGTCCGCACCGGTTGGCCGAAACCAATGTAAACGTGGAACTATGCAGGCCAAGGTGTTGATTTGTATCTCTCTGGGATTGTTGGCCACGGTCCGGGCCGCCAGCGAGTTAGCCACGGAAGTTAGGCGCTGTGAGTACCACTAGCTCTCATGGCTTCCATTCTCAGAGTATTAACTGAAATCTTTGCACAGGCTCCGGCAGCAAGCCCTTTCCCCCTGGAGGTTCGCGTAGACAATTGCATCACGCCGCCCTGCAACGTCATAAAAGGATCAATCCAGTATTTCGAGATCGATTTCGCCGTGGACAAGTACATCACGAGCATGAAAGCGATGGTTAAGGCTACCACCTTGGGCATCATCACGGTGCCCTACGAGCTGCCTCCAGATGTGGCTGCCGTTTGCCCGAACCTCATGTATGGGGCCTACTGTCCGCTGTACCCAACGGAGGATGTCACCTATCTGTTTGTCTTCCCCATTGGCGAGTATCCCGAGATTGGGGTGAAGGTCGAGATCTATCTGGTGGATCAGGATGGTGACATTGCCACGTGCTTCGTTTGCGACATCAAGGTGGTCAAGGGCAATAGCAATGGCAATGGCACCACCAGCTGAACCTAGACGAGCAGAAGTTCAGAAAAAGTAGAGCAAAACTCTTTCATTTATTGGCCTTAAATTCTGTGATATATGTATGTGTGCATTTGCATGTGAAATCAAACCAAATCAACCAAAAACAAATCCCTCAGCTTACCTTACCCGCGAGGTCTCATCAATATTTAATAAAATTTTAAAAGCCCTGCCACCGCCCCATACGAGATGTATGTGGGGGTGATTTGCTTTACCCATGTATACGACGTTGTGTATTCTTTTATTGAAACAAAAAAAAAAGAGGTACATCATACAGCCAACCAAAAGGGACACTCGCGTGCTTTTCGATTATAATCTCAACTTTCCATTGGTCATTGCTATCTGCCACACAATGCCAATAAAGTGTAAATTTGAGTGGTCGGGAAGCTACCCACTCGTATAATCGAATCAAATAAAATAATTCGCAAATCTCGAGCCTGATTAGCGCCGACATCGACACACCTGGTCAGCCAGCTAAAGTATTCAGGTAGTGATCGGTTTTAGACCGCAAGAAGAAGAGAAATGTACCGAGCTATCTGCTAATTGCTACTTGCTACTTGCTAATTTCCCAAAAACAAACGACGAGTCACAAAGCTTATCAGATTTCCTTTAAATACAAAATGCACTGTGAATAGTTTTTTCCCAAATGTATGATTAATTTCCAGAAACAAAGTGAAGAATAAGGAGATCTTTCATTCACATAAAATCTAGTAGATTTTAATTGAAATTTCAATACCACTTGATAGAAAGCATTTACAATATATAAGATATATAATAATATAAAATATAATAAAATATAATATAAATATTATAATTGGAAATAAAATCCGTTCAATGTAATTCGCTACACAAAATCCAATTTCTCTAGCTCGAAAAGTCTCTGATATTAGAAGTCAAACAAGAAACTGAAGAAGAATATTTTTATATATTACATAAATGACAAATATTAAATACTATACTCATATAATCTGCGCATAAAAATGTTCTAAGGCGCTCACTGGCCTCCTCCCTGTGTCTCCTGCAAATTCGAACTTCTCTTGTGCGAGTACATATCCAAGTGAACAACTAATACAAGTTAGTGATAGGTCAGGATTAGCAAAATAAAAGTTCAGTTTAGTTTATAAGAAAAAACAGAAGAACAGATCATTCGAGAAGCATTTAATTACTTTCACGACAAAAAGCTGGCTAAGCTGTTGGCACGAAAGAAAAGGCTACATATTAAAAATCACAAATCCTTTGGATTAATATGTACGCACATAGTTAAATATAATTGATTTGTTTATAGTTTCTTTTACTCTAGCTTCGTCAAAAAACTGCGTATTTTTCCTAGAATTTAGACAAGTGTACATTTGCACCCAGCTAAAAAATGTATAAGGGGGCGGTGAGGCGATAAGGGGAGCCCAAGTTTTGACCATATGGCCAATGCGATCTATACGCTGGCTGGCGGTCAATAAATGATTACCAAATCGCTTTTAATTGCCCATTCAACTGGTCAAATCAGTGAAATAAATTACCGGGCCTTCGGTGCAAATCACAACGTCACCGATGACTGTATATAAATATATATACTGTGCTATATCTTATCGAGGAAATGGGCTAGTCGACTGGACGATTCGACGGGTACACTGGAATCTGTGACGTGCTCAGGGTAAACAAATGGTTTTTAATCTTTGGGAATAATTTTTGCATTTATTGGCCAGTAGAAGTGGGCTATATTCAGTCAGGCCACACGAGTGGCGTCGCGTACTACGACCGTGTGTCTATGCCTTCAGTTCGCTTTGATTGTCGCGCCAGTCCAGGAGATATTCCTCCTTGGTTGCCGCCGTTCCCTTGCGCAGCTTGCAGCTGCAGATAAAGCACGTGATGACTTCGCCCTGCGCATCGTCGAGCGTTACGGTTACATCGGCGGTAATCTCCGGAAAACTGGGCTCCACATAGAAGTTGAACTGGTAGGTGACGTCCTCGCCCTTGTCGATGGGACACATGGCGCCGTACATCAGATTGGTGCACACATTGGACACCTCTTCGGGCAGATCGTAGGGCAGATTCATGCCCAACACCTTGGCCGTGGTCTTGGCTGTAATGTTCTGGATGTTGTTGTTATCTGCAAATATCACGGGTACGTTTAGAATAATGTTCAATGTTCGATCAGGGCCAAGTACTTACTGCCCAGGAACTGTACTTCCATGATTACTGTGGTGCCCTTGTACACAATACACGGCGGCTCTTCGCAATCCTGCACTCGGACGGTCAAGGGAAATGGCTTGCCTTTGCCTGAAAGTATGAGCAGAAAAGTTGGCTACATTTTGTGGGAAAACATTCAACAGATTAGAACATGATAAGCGCTATCAAAACTGTGGACTCTCTTGAGTAACAACTTTTTAAACTGCGCAGAAAAATAGGCTATCAAAATGCAGAGCAGAGGACTTACACTCTTGAGTGCTTTGCAGTATCAAAGTGGAGGACTCTCTTGAGTTCCACTCATATATTTTTTAAATCAGTAGCAAGTTATCAACTCTAGATTGTTGAGGACAGCTAAACCCAAAGTCTAGCACGTAATTCACTCGATTAAAACTCACAGACGACAATAAACTTTGAAGCCTCTTTGGAGTAATAAATTTCCGGCCAGATCTTTCATCGTACAACTGAGAAATCCTTTTTAATTATTTTTTATGTGAACTTACATTGCTTTACATTCGTGGAATTTACTGCAGCGGCGAGAAATGCCAGAGCCAAAACGATTCGCAGCATTTTTAGATTCGGGGAATTTCCTGTAATCTTTCACTTGGAGGAGAGATTGTGTTGGTACGCGCGCCCGCAGCTGATCGGTTGATGGCCGTGAATGGAACTACTGGGGCAAGTGGAGAAGTTTAAATAGCGGACGCTTTGCATGTGGCTTGACCGAGCGATGACCAATTGGATGAGGTGAGAGGGTTTATCAAACTCGTTGGGGATTGATACCAGACAGCCACGCAGGTGTTACAAATGAAAACAGAGTGGGGCTTGCAGGTGTTGCGCTCTGACGAAGAGTAAATACGTCTAAATCAAATCAGTACATAAAGTAAATTCGACTGATAAGCCCGCGGAGAGGCCGCCAAAACTATGGGGCAGAGTTGTCGCATTGTAGCGGAAACAGCCGCCAAACAGTTCGGAAACTATATATATATGCATTTCCTATGAAAGTTCCATGTTTTTCATATAGAAACGGAATACCTTTTCGTGCATTTAAATCTGATAGAAAATTTCAAATTTGCCGGTATTTTTTCCACTATCGATAACAGCCGATATCGATAATGCTATCGGTGGTAGCATACCACCTCTAGTGCGAATAGTTTAAAATTTTTAATTTTTTGTTTTGGCGTTTTTTAGACCAGATGATGAGCAGCGAGAGCACCAATTTGGAGCAGTTCCTGGCAGAGAAGTACCCCGGCCTGACCGCAGAACGAAACAAAGGCGGTGCCATCATAATCCGTGGCGTGACGTGCAGTGAGGTAAAGTCCCAAATCTTCACATCTTCCCGCCCAATTAAAATATGTTTATTTTCGCAGGGAAAGTGGCGTCGCCTGAAGCTCTATTTGCCACATCATCCGGCCTTGGATGGCTTTCAGTTATATGTGCAGGAGCAACTGGAGTACAAGTGCTACACCGCCAGCAACCTGCGGGTGCAGACCGACTGGGTGCTGGAGGATTTGTTGTCGCATCTGCCGCAGCTGCTGCCGGCCACGGAATCAATATCCACCACAAATAATGCCGCCCAGCGCAGCAATATATACGCCGATATCCTGGCGCTGCACAAGCCCCAGGAGTACCGCTTGCAGATGGACGCAGGCTACTCGCGGATTCGTTTCAGTCAGTTTCCCGATTTTGAGCAGCACTATCTGGAGTTGGAGGTGCCCACGATGCGTCTGCTGGAGCACAGTCTGCCTGACTGCGTGCAGTTGGGCGAAATGTTGGCCAAGAGCGCACGAACGCTCAGTGACGTGCTGAATCTGTTCCGGAAGCTGCTGGAGGATCTGCGCCCCTTCTACGACAACTTCATGGACATTGATGAGCTGTGCCATGTGCTGCAGCCATCGCCCATTACCACCAAGCACAACACACGCGTTTTCCCCTTAAAAGATCGCGTCTACCTCAAGATCACCATTGTGGATCCGTTCGCCAGCACTACCTCCATGGCGCTGAAGATTATTGGGCCCACAGACGAGGTGGCCCGTCTGCGGGATGTCCTGAGCGATGGTCTCGGCAATTGGGACGCAGAGCTGGACATGCACAAGAATCTGCTGCGCATCTTTGATCTCTGCTACTTTCCCATGCCCGACTGGAACGAGACAGACAAGCCGGAGGAGGAGCAGGAGAAGCATTGCAACATTTGCTTTGTCTACCGCTTGGACAGTGGCGAGGTGCCCATTGTCTCCTGCGACAATCCGCGCTGTGTGCTCCTGTGCCATGCCGCCTGCCTGGACGAATGGTTCAAGACGCTGCTGGATGGCAAAACCTATCTGGACGTGTCCTTTGGCCTCTGTCCGTACTGCAAGTCGGTGAGTAGCAAACGAACTCCGTTACAGAATCGAATAAACATTTTTGTTATCTCCCCCGCAGAGGCTGTCCACCTCCTTCGCTGCACTGCTGGATGCAGCGTAAGGCCAGGCCAAAACAAATATAAAAAAGGGAAACAATTTGTTATGATGGAGCAGCGTTTGTTCTAATTTATCTTAAACATCAATTAAATATAATTTACTTTAACTAAATCAATATCTCCGTTTGCACTTACGCCCGCAGACCAGATCGTGTATAAACCGATCCTCAAGTATCCTCTAAGTATATTTTGTGGATTGTGTAGACAATTAGATTTTTGTTTTTAAAATTTTTAAATGTTTTTATGAAACAAGTCCTAATTGGTGTATCCTTATTCCATTTCACTGGAAATGACCCTCAGCATGTTGCGCACCACAAAGTTGTTGCCATTGACGGTGGCACTGTCGCCGGTCTTGCCAATCCGGACACTGGAGCCGGCCAGGCCGTAGAACATCTTGGGTGCCAGATTGGGTTCGACAGCCTTGAATTCCCAGCCAACATGCTGGGCACAGAATTTGCACAGAATGATGTGCCACTGATAGCCGGGAAACCAGCTAAATCTGGTCGATGGCTCACCGCTATAGCCGATGGCATGGGATATCACCCGATACACAGTGTTCGTCTCGTGTATGTAGCCGCCTGCCAAAAGCATGCCAGAAGCATGCAGATAAGGATTTAGAGTGGATTTTGTACGGTTGTTGCACCAAGACGACACTCACCAGGATTGCAGTACTGTGTCTGCACGCCATGCTTGGACATGGCAAACAGATCTGAGCAGTAGGCAAGGCTGCTGTTGCAGTAGCGGCAGTAGAAGAGCGTCTCCTCCTTTAGGATGCCGCCTATGAACTGCAGGCGCAGGTTGACCGAGTTTGTGAGGAACATTTGGCTCATCATTTTCTCGGTTAGATGGAGATTGCGCACCAGCCAGAATGACAGCTGTATGGGGCACTTTGGCATTGTGTCGATCTTGTGTACCTCGAGCTTCTTGCGCGCCCGCTCCACAATGTCCGCGTAGGCGTACTCCTGGCAGGCTTCGGCCGGCCAGGGTGTGCTCGAGATCTGATAGCGGAGATACTTGTCCCGCATTGAGGGTATGTCCCGGAAGCGACTCATCGAGCCCATGTCGATGCACTTGAGGGGCTCCGGCAGAAAGTACTCCGGCAGTATCTTCACCTTGCTGTGGCACTTGTTGGTCGGATTCCGTGCAATGTACTGGGGCAGGCTGAAACGGCACCCAGAGATTAGACATGGGGACAGTAAACAGTGGACAAACTCCACTCACCCCTTGATGTCGTTGCTGTTGATGACAATGCGCTGGAGGGCCCGGGACTTGTAGAACGTCAGGTGGTGTCCGCTGTCGCCCTTCTCGTAGATCTGGCAGGTTACGCCGTACAATTTTTGGCAATCATCGGGCGGCTTCATCAGGGGAAAAGCGATGGCAAATATCAGACCATCCAGTCCGGGCATATCGTTGTCGAAGAGGCTGCCGTCAATCATGAAGGGCAGCACCTCGCCGGGAAACAGGATGTGCTGGTGCAGAAAGATGAGCATGTGGTGAGTGCTGCCCACCTCCTGGTAGTCCACGCCGGGCACACGATTCAGATTCGGGCCAAAATATGAGTGCTCTGCCGGCAGATTGGTATCGAAATGCACTCCCTCCTCCATGTCGATATCTATGGGTGGTGGCCTCGGTGGCGGAGGCGGCGGCTGCAGCTGTGGCTGATTCTGCGGCTGCAGCTGCTGTTGGAGTGCAGCCTCCTCAGCATCCAGGCTGTTCTCATCGCTGGTGCGACTCCGTCGCCTCTCCTGGCTAAAGACCATGCTGCGGACGCGCTGCAAAAAGTTGTCCCTGTTCAAGAGGGCGGCGATTCCGCCGTCCTGATTGCGAGCCTGCGACACCATCATGTCCACGGCGTAACGCAAGCGATTCTGTGGTATCATCCAGCGTGGCAAGGCCTCCACATCCGAGTCGTCTGGGTGGGGATGTGTCGAATGTAGTTGAGCATCAGAATGAGAGCATCAACTTACCCTCACTGTTTGGACTGTCCAGGGACATGTCACTGCTTGGGCGGACGGGGCTGTCATCACTCTCGATACCGTCATCCGGCACTCTGTCCTCCCCGCTGGGCCTCTCGCCCGCATTGGCGGAGCCGCCCTCGTCAGCTGGGCCTGGTCCCGATCCAGGAACTGGTGGCATCTCCTCCTCAGCGGCGGCGTCGGCGGAAGGCTGTCCAAAGAAGCGTTCGATCATGGCCGCTTCCATTTCGGCCGTCTCCTCGAAGACATCTATGACCCTCTCCACATCGCTCGGCTGCAGTTCCGCTACACTCGGGCCTGCTGCCTCCCCCGCAGAGTCAGCAACCTCCTCCCCTGGTTCATTGATTTCTGCGCAATAAATTGTGTATAAGGTGTGGCTGCAGTTTGGGTTTTGTCGTTAGTTTTAGTTGCGTCCTACCTGCTGTCCCTTCCTCATCCATTTAATCCGTTTGTGTGGGAGTGGGAGTTTCGAGTTTAAGCTGGCTGTAATTTTTATTTATTTTGTCATGTATTTATTCGATTATCGATAGCACGTAAAATACGACTCTGTTGACCAGAGCCTGAAAAACATTTTTAAAACAATTATTATGGGGATTCGTGCAACTGATCTTCAGCAGATTGGACAGCATTGTGGAATATATAACCCATTTAAGTAAAATAAATTAGGTCAACTACGCAATACACAGTCAAATCAAATTTGATTTCGTATACTGGGACCTATACCATTGTCGTTTCTAAATCGAATTTAAATTGAGTCATAGTCCGTTTCACAAGTGCCCACAACGGGCCCCACAATATCAGCTGTTCCGATCCACAGACTGTTTATATATAAAAGATCGACGCGCAAAGTTGCGCCCACACATAAGTTGGATCCACTAAAGGGGAAAGTCGCGACTGTTCTGCTCTTCGTTATCGTGCAAAGGCCGACCATATCGACCTGTTTTACATAGCCATAAATCACACAAAAAAATCAGAGAGAATGATCAAGACGAAACTTTTGCTGCTGTGGGCGCTATCGGAGTTTCTCATGGGCATCGAGGCGCAAATAGCCTTCGTGGAGGATGCGGACACTGATAAGAAGAAAGTTAACTTGGCGGTAAGCTTCCTGAAAGAGAGAGACAAAGCGCAGCTTTGTCCCTGCTCTGTTTTGATAAGGCAACGAAAAATAAGTGAAAGCTGGGATTGGGACACCGAAGTTTCATATACCCTTGGGGTCGAGTCTTGAAAAATGGCGCCAAAAAAGCCACAAAATTCAATTAGAAGCTAAACAAATTATGAATATCAGATTAAACTGAAATGTTAGATTAAATTCTCTTTAAAAAACAAGTTATTCCTGTAAAGACTTGTTTTTTATGGGTATGATATGATTTAAAAATTTCATTCGCATAGATATGCATTCCAGAAATTTTTAAATGGAACGTAAACGATCCACATGCAGAAATATTTTAAGCTGAAGGACCTGTTGCTTCCCTTTGTGGCTGTACCAAGACCATATCACAGCTAGAACACTCTCAGAAAGGGTACCCACCACAGAGCTTTGTATTTATAAATATTTCTAATTGATTGTAATCAATCATTGGTCTCCCACCTTGCACAGGGTCGCAAGCCGCTCTATTCGCCGGCGCGTTGCCCGCGGTACCAGCTTCTATATCCAGGGGATCAGCCGCTCGATTGGGTCTGTGACTGTGCGCCAGGTGAGCATGTGGAGAAGATGATCAGCATTTTGCGAGCGATGACATAATATGCCCGCCCGCGTACGGGTACTTCCCCCAGCCACGCTCTACTACCCAGAGACGGACGCCTGCTATCCCGCCTACAGGCAGGGCCCGTGCGAGCAGGGCCAAATGCTGGTCCTGTACAAGGAGAAGATCATACCCGAGTGCGTGAAGAATCCCTGCGACACGGACGGCCACTTTATGATACGCGACACCTGCTACGAGTTCGGCAACACCAAGCACGAGGGCAATCCCTGCCCCTTCAAGGAGTACACCTATGTGCTGGGCGTCAACCCAATCAATCTGATGGTCGACTGCGTGAAGCTGTCGGTGCAGCTGGAGACGCGCATTTCGCTGGACGAAGCCGTTGCACCACCGGACTACCACATTGATCTGGCCGAGAAGTGCTCCCGCGGCAGCCGACTGCTCGTCCAGGGAAAATGCTCATAGGAAGTGGAGACGAGACGAGCAGAGACAAATCGAATCAAATTCAAAGAGATTTTAACTTTAATCATAACAATAATAATTCCTTATGTACAACAAACAAATCTATGCGGCTTTGGCCTTCTGCCGGTCCGTGGCTGGTTCGGGTTTGACCTCGTCAAGCAGCTCCTCTGCACCGATGTCATCCTCCTCGGGCAGATTGACGACATCCTCAAGGCTCTGCTCATCATTGGCCGTCTCCATCTTGAGCAGCGCGTTCTCCATGGAGGCCAGGAAAGAGCTCTCCTGGTACTCCGGCCACTGGCGGAACTGTGTGAACAGTGTCAGCATCTGACTGGGCCTGAGGTCGCCAAACTGCGTGTATATATTGATGCCCGGAAAGAAGTCTTTTGTGCTCATCGTGGTGCCCTGTGTGGTGTATTGCGGCAGCTTCTGCGGCGACTCATCCGGATATGTGGGCAAAATCGGCTCTGAGGCTTGCGGATTGATGATCAGCCTGGGCCCACAGCCGGGCACCCACTTTCTGCAGGACAGAGAGAGAGAACATCAATTGAAGGCCGACCTGGCGGGAGATTCCGCCATACTCACTCGAGATTGGGTATTATGCGATTCCGCCGGCTCACGTAATTCTGCTTGACGAAGAACCAGAGCGCCACCAGGTCTTGGGGCGAGCACAGCTCGTGAAGATTGCGCCTGGGCACAAATTTAACCAGATACAAGTACTCCGGATTGATGGCACGCACCTTGCCCAGCTTGCTGCTCTTCGTGAGCTTATATTCGGCCTGCAGCGGCAGGAAATCCTCCCGCGGCACCTTGGCAATGAACCGATGCTCGAAGAGTATCTGGAACAGCACCGTGGTGGAGCGGTAGATGAGGTAGCCCACATCATTGTTGCACGTCAGGTGCTGCAGGAGTGTAAATTGATGATCACGTATCAGAATGGGGGGGCTGTGTGCTTGATTGTAGTTACTATGTAAATGGGAGGAGGCATCGCCAGGATCATTTCACAGCGACCGAGGTTGTAGAGACTCGTCTGGAACACGAGCGAATTGATCAGATGCTTGAAGAACGAATACGAGCCCACGGCGCCAAAGACCAGCATGTTGATATCTACGAAGACAAGCGATGGGTTGGTTAGTGTGTTTGTGGGCTAGAAATGTGTGTTGCCTCACCGTCGTTAAACGCCCTCTGGGGCACATCGTGCAGCAGCTCGGCCACCCGCACGCCGTTGTCCATCTTGTCCATGAAGACCAGCTTCCAGAGGTTGACCATGTCCCCTTGGCGCACCTTCACCCGCTCCGGATACAATGTGTGCAGCTCCTGCAGCCGTGGCATAAAGTATTCCATGCTCTCGAGGAGAATAATCTTGCGAAACTGCGACTCGCGGTCGAGCAGGTGCTTGGTGAAGTGACCCACGCCGGGATTCAGCTCCAGCACGGTGTCGCAGCTGGTCTGCTGCAGATGCGGCTCCAGGTACTGGCCAATTCGCTGTGCCGCCTCCGCATTGGCCACATACATGTGGGCGGGCGTCTTCTGTTTCTTGCTGAGCAGCTTATCTGGGTACTCGCCGCTGTACCGGGCGACAAATTCGCGCTTGGCCTTGCTGCTGAAGCAGGCGACGCTCCTGCCGAGCCTCCAGCTGAAACGCAGTGGCAGCATGGCGGTAACGATTTAATAAACAAAATCAAATAAAATAATAGCCGGGCCGGGTTTTGTTTACAAGCAACAGTTGGACCATTGGCCCTTTGCAGCACTAGAAACCCACAACAGCTGTGTGATGTGGAAAGTTTACCAACACTTGTTGTTTTTGGTTATGTTTATATAGAATTTTCATTTTAATCGAATCTTATGCATAGATTTTTGTGAATCGTTAATTAAAGTCGAAGTGTTGCGGCCATGGGACAGGTAGCTTCGATGATTGCTCGCCGGGCGAATCGCTTCAATGCCGAGAATCGCGCCCACCGCGTCATTGAGCGCGAGAAACCCACACCGGCGCCCAAATTCGATTCCAATCTGAGGGACATGGAACGCACCCTAGAATGTATGCTATTGGGACACCGATACTGGTTGGGGGGTGTTTTGGGCCAAAGTTTAATCTCCATTTTGCTTGCAGTGGATCCCAAGTTTGTGGACAAACTCAACCTCAAGGACTCCAGTTTGGACACGCGACTAAAAGACGTTTATGTAACGTCACAGGATCGATTTGTGGGTTAAAAACAGGAAAAAGCTGACCAGTGGGGCACATACTGATGATTGATATCCTCTATCCTAGATTGCACGCGTGCAGGAGCGTCAGGCGGCAGATGCTGCGGCGGACATCAAAGAGCAGCGACCCCTTCCCTTGGAGCGTAAAACTCCGGATGACTTTGAGTATGGCTGCAAGGAGCCCAGTCGCATCATCAGCGGCCGCTGCACCCTGCGACAGGCGCTCAAGTTCATCAACGATCATCAGATCGAACCGGAACTGTGGCCAGCCAAGAAAATAGCCGACGAGTACAAGTTGAAGGAGACGAATGTTGGTAAGCAAGGGGAGAGGACTCTTCTCTGAGGACTTGCCTTCTAATTCGATTCCCCGCCTTCTCAGAGAACATTCTGCACTACTTCAAGACGTTTAATGTGTACATACCCGACCAGAAGTACAAGGACACACTGCTGACGCAGGCAAAGCAGAAGATAAATCTCCTCAAAGAGAAGTCCAGTGTCTCGGACAGTAGTACATAGTTCATAGCCGCCTCTTCCATAAATAGAAACCAATTGTTGTTTTAACCCTACCTCTACGATTTATTGTACAAATGAGGATCAGACCATTGCATTCGGTGGGCATTCGTAGACGTTGAGCGATTTGTCCTCGGAGGCGGATATCACCTTATCGTTGCCGGGGCTGTAGCGCACGCTCCACACCTGATCGCTGTGCTCGTTGAATGTGTGCAGGCACTTGCGCTCGGAGGAGTCCCAAACTTTCACCGTGCGATCGCTGGAGGAGCTGGCAAAGCGCTTGCCATCCTCCGAGAATGAGACGCACAACACCCAGGAGGCATGGCCCGACAGTGTGCCCACCACATCAGAGTGCGCACTGCAAAGGGGAGGGGTGGAGAGTGGGTTACAAATGGCTCGTTCAATTCTGCCCTGTGGCTAAACACTTACACATCGTAGAGCTTCATGTGACCGTCGTCGGAGCCGGTTAGCAGCATCTGAGAGTTTGGGGAGAAGCACAAGCTGCGCACGGGCATGGCATGTCCTTCCAGTGTCTGCGCCACTTTGCCAGCGGCCACATCAAAGATGGTAATGATGCCATCAATCGCTCCACTGGCAATGTATTTGCCATCTGGACTCTGCAATGCAAAAGGCGGGAAAAGTGTCATGAGCCTGGTCTCTCTGTGGTTAGGTGTCCGGTCCCTACATATGCAATGCTCAATGTGTATTTGCCATTCTGGGCATCCAGCACCTGCTCCGCCTTGCCCGTCTCCACGCTGTACATAGATATCTTGCCATCGTTCAGACCAGATATCACGTATTTGTCGCACGGCGAAAAGCCCACTGTCCACAGATCCACTGGCCCAAAGGTCAGCAAATGTTTCTTGTCCCCAGTCTTGGCATCCCACAGACACATCGTAGAGTCCAGTGAGCTGCTGGCAATGGCTATAACGGAGACAGCTATTATTTGAGCTCTAAAAAATATATTCAACACTCACTCTGGCCATCGGAACTGACGGCAACGGAGACGACGCCCAGGGCATGCCCCTTCAACGCATGGCGCAGCTTCAGTGTGTTGTCCTCGCGTATGTCCCAAACTTTTACCAGATCATCGAGCCCCCCCGTAACAATAAACTCTTTTGGCTTGGGCTCCTTTTTATCAAAGTCAAAGGGGTTCTCCTCTTCCGGTTCCTTGCCGGCATCGTCTTTCTCAGCCGGCAGTGGGTCGCGGCCCCAGGTACAACTCCACAGCGAATTATCATGCGCATTCTCCTCTCTGTGCAGCAGCGAGAACTGAAAATGATTGTTGAACAATAGTCGCACACGAATAGCAGCTCAGGGGACTCACCATCGTAAACAAATAACTTAATAGAAACGAAAAAACTTATTTACGCGAAAATGCAAAAAACAAATGGGTAAACAGTGCTGTACAACGTCATTTTTGCTCATACTTGAAACACATAAATGAGTCAGGCGAGCGTTAAAATCTTGTCAAAAATAGGTCTTAAATTTCAGCAATCTTGTAGAAAATTGATTCATCTATCTGAAGGTTCTAACCAGCTTGTAATATTAAATCGAATGTCAAAGTTAAGCAATATGATTTTTATTGGTATATTTTGAAAATTGAAAGTAATATTTCGCTATATTTTGAGGTTGCAGTCACACTGGACAGCATCGACAAAACAAATCAAGTCAAATATATGTTATTCAATACATTAACATACTTTTCAAAATGACCGCCAAACTCCATTTAGCGCACAAAAAATACCGACATTTTTCGCTCTCAAATCGTGGTGGTTTTTCAAAATTATTTGGAATGTAGATTCATTGTTGCTTCATTGCCGTCAGATACATTTGATTTGTATGGGAAAATTTTCAGCAACATGGGGAAATGAAGTATCAGCAATGTTGTGCAACTTTGGCACGGAATGAGCATACCTTGGGAAAATGGATATTATGGACTTGAGATATTGTTGGAATTTTCAGGCTCCAATTAATGCAAAAACTATTCAGTCTCTGTTCTAAAGATATTAACAAAGTTTTGCAGCTCACGGGTTCCAATACTAGGTATCAGAACCGGGATAAATGTATAATTATAAAACAAAACTTATGCATTAATAGGTAAACAACATGTCAATCTAGGATAAAATTATAAATAATGTTTCAATGGAGCTTGGAACAAAAAATTTAACATCAATTAAAAGAAATAAGGTATACAAAAATCCATACGCATAGAAGAAACTTGGTTGACCAGCAACATGTGACGTCACATTTAGTCAACATTTACGTTTTATGCTTTGGCCGTTTTTGTTTGAACCTTAATATGTAAATAATCCAATAAAAAGGACTTCTGAAAACTTGCCACTCTTGTATAAAATTTATGTATCTATGGGATAAAATTATTTGTTTAGTGTTGAGAGGGCCAACTATCTAGTAATATTAAACCGAATATCAAAATCGAGGAATATCAACGCTTATTGTCGTGGCCGTCAGTATATTTACGGTATACTTTGATAATGGCATGGTATATTTTGGTGTATTTCTGTGGGTCAGGTGGGTAAATTTTATAAATAAATCCGCTGCCACACTGATAGCAGAGACCATTTTTCGCCGCGCCAACGAAACAACGTAAAGATATCGTCGAATTTTGCCCGGAAAATCAAAACAAGTGCATGTGAGTAAGTGCAGTGCTCTGCAGAAGTGTAAAAATGCAATCGAATTGAATGCAAGTGTCGTTATATAATGCGAATGCTGAATAAAAACGCACCCAAAGTGTGGTTCTCTAAAAAGGAACAGTGCGGTTGCTGTCGCCGACGATTTGGATGACCAACAACGAGAAACGGACCAACGCGCGTGTTCTTTATTTTAGTTGATTTTTTTCGTTCGTATTTTGTCTGTGTCCGGGAGCCTCGTGTCTGGAATATATTAATAACATTTATAGTGAAACTTTAAATGTGTGTGCGAGAGTGTGTGCGGTGGGGGGCGTCTGCGTGTGTGTGTGCAGCAGCAGCAGCAGAAGCTGAAGCATATTTTATCATTCATATCTTCGTCAAAAAGCGAAAAGAAAACCAAATGTGATTTATTTTAATGCCAGGATTTTGCCGCTGACTTTCCTTGTTCTCTCTCTCTCTCTGTCTGCCGCTGCACACGCACCTCTTCCTCTCACGTTCACCCATTTGTGCAATTAACCGGAGAGGAGAATAAGAAGAAAATAATAATACCTAAATTCGCCGCACTTTCTTCCATGTGTTTTATGTGTTGTGTTTGTTTTATTGATTCCCTCTCTCTCCGTTCGCGTTTCGTCCCCCTCCCACAAAATCCTGTTTAACTGTTCTCGTTCTCTATCTCCATCACTCCCTCTCCCTCTCGATTCGGTTCGGTGTGAACAAGTTTATCTTTAATTTTGTCTCCACTCATCTTCTATTCTTGTTTTTGTTGTGGTTCTTCCACGCGACTGAATTTTAATCGCGCATTTCACTTGGTGTTTTAATTTGCAAATCACTTGAAAAATAAATCAAATCAAACAGTTTATTTTAGCTGAATTTGTTAATCATAAAGGTGAGTGAAATCCGATGATAAATACTAATAATTTTATGTGTGTTTTAAGCAGATTTACATAACTTGGTTTTATGTAATCAAATGTGTTTTTTATGCAAAATTATTAGGTATGGGCGCTGTGGGTTTCTACCAAAAATCCTACTAGATAGATGATATATTCAAGATGTTATTGCTTGCCTTCACTGCTTGTTTCTCTTGATTTATTCTCTCTCCTGTTCTGAAATAAAAAAAAAACAAATTGAGTTGCACTGCTTGCTAACTGTGGATTTACCAGCTGGCATGGATTCCTATAAAGTTTAAACAGCGCTGCTTCAACTTACAGCTGATAAGTGAAACTGCTTGCATGAAACATTAAATGTAGTGTTTTTTTTCCATCCTCACTTAGAGAGACCCATCCAATCCAACATCCAACACTCGCTCGGGCTGTTGTTTTGCCTCAGCCTTCACACATATGTAAATGGTATTTATGGATAAGTAAAAACGCTGTCCCCTAAGA